TTTCTGTCATAATGCAGAATTTCTGGGCAAAAAGCATGCTAATACTTGTCTGATATGATTTATTTAGATGCCCACTACTATTGAGGATTTGGAAGCTGCAATCCAAGACACCACTTCCCAAGCCAATTCTATACTTTTTGTCAATCATAATGTGTTGGAACAATATGAGAACCGTGAACGTCAGGTATCATTTCGGTGATTTTTTGTATCCATTTTTCTTCTTTTTTTTCCCAATTTTAAATGATTGTCTGTATTTGTAATCACCAAGCAGATAGGGGCTTTAGCTGCAAAACTTGAAGAAGATAAAAAGGAAGTAAGTAGGTGTCTAGCTGAAGTAGACACCCTAAAGGTGAGTAAATCAGATTTCATGAATTCGCGTTTGCAGATTTTACGTTAGTTTCCTTCCCTTAGCAATGGTTTCATGGATGCATTTCAGTATTCCTTTGATTGGTGATCAACCATGGTCCTTTTAAGGTAGCAAATACAATGAATTGGCTTGCTTTGTTATATCTGTTTAATCCTCCTTGGCGCACTTTGGTTAGTTTTGGCGGATATCTTATTCTCTGCCAACTAAGTCTGCCTTTCATGTATTAACGTATTCTATGTTTATAGCAAATAGACCCTGGTTCTTAGCTTCTTCCTGAGCTTTAACAATGATTTATCATTATAAAAAGCGAACGCTGAAAGTTAAATCATAATATTAAACATAATTTTTTTATTAAAAAAAGGAATAGCAAATCATCCCATGTGGAAGACCAAGTAATGATAGAATTGGAGATGCACTCATCTGGTATCTTTTTGTCTGTGCCTGGCTGTGTTGACAAGATATAATTGTCATGATAGAAGCTCCAACATTTTAGCTATTTGCAGGGGACATGGCTTCCAACGTTGAGGAACCTTGTGGCCCAGATAAATGAAACCTTCAGTCGTAATTTCGAGGAGATGGCTGTTGCAGGAGAAGTTTCACTTGGTATGTACTTAGCCAATCTGAAGAGGTCTTACTAGTTTTCTTGGTTCAATTTCCCTTCAATGGTTCTCTCCCCTTCCCAGATGAGCGTGATGTGGACTTTGATCAGTTTGGGATACTCATAAAAGTGAAGTTCAGGTGACTGCTGTGTTAAGACCTTATTAATTTATTTTCGTAGAACATATGCATTCATGAGATCCAAAGTCTGTTGTTTTTTAAGAACTATGGTGAACAACCATTAGGCTTCTTCTATATAGCCCTTTTAAGGTCTAGCCAAAGAATAATCCCTTTTTATGATGGATGCATGTGGAAAACTTGTAATTCACTCCCCAGTTTGCATTAGTTCTGCAGGAATGCTTTCTTTCTTCCTTCTAAAAGACGTAAGCTTTGCATGTAGAAATTAATTCTATGGTAATTGATTTCTGCCTTCTGAGATTTACAAAGAAATCCAAATGTAACCTTTTGGTCATAGTTCGCATACTATTTTTGGAGTAATATCCATTTATTACAGGATTTTTCTCGAACTGTCCATTGCTTTGTCTTTGTTTATGCTGTCAGAATTGCCTTTTTCCCTATTCCAATGCTGCCATCTCTTACACCCTATATATGTTTTGATATCATCAGACCAACAGGACAGCTTCAAGTTCTGAGTGCCCACCATCAGTCTGGAGGGGTATAACAGAATGATTCATTTTAATTACATTGATGCTTTCATAAAGATATTCTCTCTTAATGTACTTTGAGACGTATTTTTCAGGAGCGATCAGTTTCTACTATTCTTTATCTTGTTTCTCTTCAAGATCTTACCAACTGCCCATTTAGAGTGGTTGATGAGATTAATCAAGGTATTTACTGTTTGAAGTAATTTCTTTTACTGTTTGAAGTAATTTCTCTATAGGCTGAGACGTTTGTTAAGAATGTTTTTTCCCTCAGGCATGGACCCAATAAATGAAAGGAAAATGTTCCAGCAACTAGTGAGAGCTGCCAGCCAGCCAAATACACCACAGTAAGTACTAACACTATTAATCGATTCCTCCCCTGCATTATTTTTGTATGGCCATGATAAGGCAAGAGCATTCGTCATTCTTGTGTTTTTAAGGTTCTAGATTGCATGCAGTAAAGAGGGCCACCAATAATTTTTTTCCGGTTCACCATATGTAGAAAAGTATGTGCTTATACATAATTTTCTTCTCTGATGCATTTGCTGCGGAGGCTAAATGCAACTGTGGTTGTTTTTCTTGATTAGAATGCTTTAATTTTTGAAGGGTGGGAAAATGCTTCAAGTATTAGCCTCGGATGATAGATGGAATAAAAGCTTTGCATTGCTAAACTAGCATCTGTATGAAATAATGGTGGAATGCTTACAGTTTATTATCTTGCTTACCTATAAAAGACATTAGTTGTAGTGTGGATATTTTTTTCCCCTACTCCACCACTTCTTTGACTCTTCTCAATAGGGGATAGCAGCTCTCTGCCTTTTATGCTATCCTGATTTGAGTAGAATGTTGGCATTTCCCTTGCTCCTTCATATATTATGATTTTAATGAGGAACCTGATGACAACCATCTAAAAGATTGCATTCAAGTTTTGTCTGAAATGATACCCCGAATGGAGCTAGCAGGTCTTGAAGCTTATATCTTATCAGAACACAAAAACCTATCTTCAGCCATGAATTGATTATGTTTTCTACACCTGCTTACGTTAAACGTTTGGTGTAATTAATAATGAAGTGCCTTAAATGTGATGCAGATGTTTTTTGCTTACCCCAAAGTTGCTACCGGATCTGGAATACAGCGAAGTGTGCAGTATTTTAAATGTAATGAATGGGCCTTGGATTGAGAAAGTCTCGGAAGGTAAATTTACCTCTGCTAGATGGTTCTCTGACCATTACTTCTTGGACATCTCACATCATCATGGTAGAAATTGTAGTGTTAGAATTGTAACTACCAAGGTATTTTAAATTTGCATCTTTTGTATCACAATTGAAATTGCTATAGAAAAAATGCCAAGTGGTATTTTTAGTTGAAGCTAAAAGGAACCTAATGGGAGACTCCTTTTAAATTTGGGAGAATGAAAATTAAGGATCTCTCATAAAAAAGGTTAATGTCAAATCAGGACCTCATCGTAACTCGTATTCTCAAATTGAGTACTCATCTTCCTGCCTTGTTTGGTTGTAGTGGTTTTTAATGTGAAGCCAAACGTGTATATAGAAATCAAATGCTATCAACTTTGTAGATGCGTTAGAGGTGGATTTTACTGAAAAAATCTGCATGCTTATGGAAATTTTTTATCCTTATTATATTTTTGACGTGAGATTTTTTATCTGTTAATCAGTTTGGGGTGAAGGTGATCGATGGGGGAAAATTGCAGGGTTGATGTTAGAGAATCAAAGCTGAGAGAAGTCTAAGCGTACTTCTCATTGGTCATGGCTTCTGTTTAATATCTTTAATCTTTTGTATTGAAACGACCGTGCTTTTGGCTCATTGATCCATTAGGAATATTTAATTTTGTATGTAATTTTCATCTTTGATCAAATGGCACAACCCTTTGTAAATATTGAATTTCAAATATAATCCAAGTGCTAACAGGTTTTGGGGGAATATTTCAAGCTTACGATGAATTCTGCAATGGCTTTGTCCTTGCCACAATTGTTTGAGTTTCACATGAATATAAAACGTGAAAAATTTATTAACGAGTTACATTGTTTACAAGTTAAATGATTTAAAAAATGATGATTTTCTAGACCTAGGATTATTTTCAAGTTTAAAACTTGGATACCAGGATTTGTAATCATCCACTTATTGGGATATCCACAGAGATTTTTCATTGCTGATTTGATCCTATTTCGTTTTCATTTATACGGTTTAAGCTATGGTATTGTATTCTAATCCAAATTGATACAGCCCTTGTTTTCCATCTTATTCCGAAATTTAGCAATAATTTTAACGATTCAAGAAAAGGAAAATTACATTAGTTCAACTCTAAAACCCTCAATTGCCCCAATAAAGGGAATTGATTCTCCTTCAAAGAATATATATATACTTAAATATTATAACAAAACATTCTCAAGGGTTTTTTTAGTCTTTTAAAACAGCTATAAAAAAGTTATCACGACACAAGTGATGTTAGGAGTTGAGGACTGAAAAACACGTTACAAAATTAAGACAGAGACTAAGGGCCTGTTTGGATATCACTCAAAACTATGATTTGAGAGTCAAAACCATGGTTTGGACCAAGTGATATCCAAAACAGCCTCATTTTTATCAAAACCTGGTTTGAGGGAAAACCTGGTTTTGACTAGTGAAACCATGGTTTATCGAAAAGTGAGAATTTTTCGCTTCTGGGCTTGAAAATGAGTCATATGAGTGATTATTAAGTGTCAGAAGCTGCCAATCGTTTATTTGACAAAAATACCCACAAGAATTGTTTCACGCCTGTTCACCTGTCGACGCCTTTGATCCTGCCATTGCTTGGACTCTGGGACTTTCGTTTCTTGCTGGAACGCTAATGAAGCTGAACCAATTTTCTAAATATAATATCATTTAGTTTTCCCTTTGACCCAAAAAAAAAATAGTAATATCATTTAGTTTTCATGGCTTTGTTAGCAAATGTTATCATTTTTCCTTTCCGCCTGGATTAGATTGTTCGACCGAGAAAATCAAATATATATACACATATTAATTGTTTATTAATTATATTATCTTATATATTATTAATTATGTTAGTAAAAATACATATAACAATTTTATTTTTTCAAATTAAAATATATTATAAAATTTCTCTTTTATGTAATTATCATATTAACTTATACCCTTTTTAGTAATTTGCACATATAAAAAATGATTCTAATAACAACTATCCAAACACTCTCACTTTATCAAAATCACTTTTTTACAAAATCTATTCTTCACAAAATCTATTTTCCCAAAATCTATTCTCCAGAAGCTATTCTCCAAACCATGGTTTGGTTTCATCCAAACACTCCCTAAATGCACTTTGACTATTGGAAAGACAGATCATTCTGGGAACCTGGTAACACTGGAATACAAAATGGTAAAGAAAAGGATACAAGTTTAACTTCCTACACCAATTGTGACGAGTGCAGCGAAAAAGCTGAAGAAAATGGTCAAAACCTATACATAGATTCAAAGATTAATAACTTGATGATGGCATAACAAAGAATATTCACTAAATTAGCGGTGAAGTAAATACAAGATTATCCTCCCCTGGGGTCAGAAATTATCCCGCGTGCATACTTTTGGGGTCGGATTCCAACATAGGTATGACCACCAAAGGATCTCCATGTTCGTCCCTGGGCTCTATGTCACTTCTTGCCATCTTTTGACTGATCAGGTATTTGGTGCAAGATCAGAGGCCCTAACCCAGGGAGCTTATTAAAACGAAGCAAAACGAGCATTTACAGGTGTACTCCTACTTCAGATATTAGATGGAAGCTTCCAGCATCTGTCTGATGTTTACCTGATAGAAGGTCCCATTGCTGATATGTGTGCACTTCTCCAGTAGACACCTCTAACACCAGAGGGTCGTTTGCTTCTACTGATTTCTGTTTAAGAAAAAATTATGACAATCAATCAAATTCAAAACCCCGTTTGTGAGTAAATGCATAAACACAAGCAACTCTGGTTGGTTAGAACATACTATTGCAGCAATTAAGTTTACAAGAAGTTCCTCCTCCGAAAAGTCGGCTTTTCCAAAAGGCAAATGCACAATTCCAGTTTATCTGCTCTGTATATAATCTTTTCTTGCTTGAATTTTGCTATAGCCTGAAAAAGAAAAAATTCAAGGCACTCTGATTCAGTAAATGCTTTTGAAAATAAAAGAGTTGCTTCATGTCATAAGCTTTTGGATAATATACCTGAGGAATATTGGCTGTTACAGTCCCAGCTTTTGGATTAGGCATCAGGTCCCTTGGCCCCAGAATTTCACTTAGACTAGCAATCTGATATAGGGATCATTGAAAATTATAAGAGTTTCCAGAAAAATAAATAATCCACCTCTAAATGAAGTCTACAGAATTACCAAAAGTTCAATCTAGGGAGAGATGTTATGTATGTAATAAAAATGACTTACATCACATCACAAAATTAACCTTAACCCCACACTAAGGTTTATTACAACATAATGAGCAGCAGATAAGCATCTTATCAAAGCTTTTTGTATTGAAAACAATAATCAATTGGGTTGCATCTCATATCATGTTGTTTACAATATTTACGTCATTGGAAAACAGGTGGGCAATAAAGAACCTAGCAGGCTTTACATTAACAACCAGAAGAATGATCAACTGAACAGGTGGATTTCAGCTCACATCAGGAGCCTATTTTGTAAATAATTTTGCCAGGACCAACCATTGAGATTACTTACTGAAAATTCAAGGCAGCATTATTCAATGCGTTCTTTGAAGTATATTCATAATAATAATGAAAAAAAAAAAGAGAAAGAGAGGAAGTTTAGCATTGGGAAGAGAAGGCACCTTAGGCATCATATCAGGAGAAGCAATCAATTTATCAAATTCCATATATCCTCCTTTTATCTGTTCTATCAGGTCCACTCCACCCACCAAATCTGCTCCCGCATTTTTTGCTTCATCGAACTGTTCCCCTAGATAAGTTATGAATTATGAGTGGCAATAAGGCTGGTTGGAAATATTAAGAGTATGCCATGATTCGTGATATGATCAGTCTTTTCCTTTTTCATTTTTATTGGAAGGCTAAAACAGAAACCCTGGCCTCATTAACAAGTCACTAGAATTGATGCTCACTCAACCCATTATACCATAATACCACATATGTTAGATGGGCAGCATCCAGATCATTATTTCCAAGTCAATTACTCAAAAAATGTTTATTTTGAGAAATCTTTAGAAGCATTAAATAAACACGTCAACAATATTCCCTGAGGGGGAAAAAGGAAAAATTACACCCCACACGCACGCATAATCCCAGGAAACCAAGTATGGGAGAGGTCTTTGTAGAATGTAATTATAAAATGATGGCACTGTTTGCGTAAGGTAACATAAGACTCAGGGAGGTAAGTGTTTTTTTAACATTAATTATGTGAGTTGGTAAAAAGGCTTCATCCCAAACGACAGAAAACTATCCCATTATAATGTGAAGTTCAAACTGAAAAAACACTAACAAAGTTACAATTAAGAGGAATGGATTAGGAAAAAGCAACTACAGTGCTACAATTATTTATTGAGCAAAGATTATTTACAAATTAACATTTCTCCCAGAGGACAAATAGATGCATGGAAACCCTCCAAAGCAAGTAAATAAGCATAGGCTTAAACAGGTGACCCATCGTTCACAAAGGACTATATCTGGATGGCTGAAAGTGGGAAGAGCTTCCCAGAATAAAAGAAACAGGCGACCATCATCACACAAGGAATAATTGCATCATGCCAGCCATTGTTAATAAGGAATCTCATATTTTAAAAGAAATCATAGGATTGTATGAAAAGGGGCCTATCCTTTGCCCTTGGAACACGAATGGTTACAAGATAGAAATATAGATGCAAGCAGCAAGTCAGTAACTTTTATCTGACTACTGTTTTTGAGAATTCCCTAATATCCAGGATAGTATGAACTTTAAGCACGTCATGACACACAAGATTTTATACATGCTCATTTATATTTTTCTTTTTTTGGAAAGAGTATATAAGAAGGCAAAATGTCCACCGCTTAATAAAGTAAACTGGAATTAATCAGAGGAAAGAATGACACTTGTGAAGCATGAGTACCTTGAGTAAGAACAGCCACTTTGAGAGGCATTCCAATTCCTTGGGTAAGCTTACCTGTTACGATTTGATGAGAAAGAGGAAAAATTTATGTGTTACTGTTATATTTATAAGAACTTCACAATTTAGATACTAAAATCAAGCAAAGAGCAGAAAACTCACCGTTGCTCTTATTTGTTGGTCATTATATTTAGGGTCAATGTTGAGACGAAAATGGGCTTGTACTGTTCCTACAAATTTTGTATTTGCTGTTTGTTTTTAGTAAAGATATTGCCGTCTTTAAATCATACCCTTTATACTCTCCCTCAGTCCATGAACCTCTAACAACCTCTTATATCTCACCTGGTGAGACAACAAAAAAACATTTAGCCTTGAAGGGAAAACATAGCAAATACAAAAAAAATTCAAAGAAACAACAATCACCTGAGCTTAAAAGAGAACAAAAACGACTTTTAGATAATTTTGGCAACAAGCCGAAACTCTTGGAAGTATGCAAGAGTCGAAAAATGAAAATCAATATAAAATATTGCATGGACTGTGAGATATACATAAGAACAACCAAAAAGTCTAGAAGTGCATATTACCCCTCCAAGTTGACAAGTGAATATATTATAGTCACCACTTGCGTAAGACCGATGTAGATAAATCTTAAAGCTTAATTAACAAGACAAAAAAGAACATGAAAATAAACAACTCCCCCATGATTCATTGAGAATAATATACAAGTCAAGCGCAAACGTATGGCATTCTATAAGACTAATCCAAAACTCTGGGTAAAAATCAATGAAATTGAAAGTAGGATTTATAAAGGAGGCACCGCAAGACCCTGTACTACTTCTCTTTCGGCAAATGACAATTGACAGCACTAAGGTTAAAGCCTAAGACCTACAAAACCAGCCATTCCCTTCAACACTAAACTGCACCTAATAGCTTTCTGAATGTGTAATGACGATGCTTTGCATATTCATCTCAATTACATGATAGCAAGTTTGAAAGCCAACTACGAAACAATAATTATAATTTGCCAAAAAAGAGAATACACATGAATAAGCGAAATTAGGGTCCAAATATTATAGAAGAAAAGCGAAGGCATACTCTTAGTTTATAAAGAGGCAATACGCTCTGAAACTTATTTCCCTCAGTTAAAAAGTATACCTATACAAGCAAAATCCAATAATCAAATTCATTGCATAACCCCATTATTCATAGAAAATCAAGACAATTAAAAAAAAACAAAATTTACGCATACCCTCTCCGTTTTGAGAGGCAATGCAGCTTCACTTTCTTAGGCTTGGGTAGTAACAGTATTCGCGGCGGACCCATCATCCCTCTGTTCCACACTCTCAGCAACCTCGGCCTTCGTCGCCAAAGAAGCCACAACGACACGGGAAGCCCTAGAATTAGAATTAGCTTCTGCTGAAATTTTACGTCGATCCATCTGCCAGAGATTCTCGCTCTGGACTTTAAACGCAATGGGAAAGAGAGAATTATAGACAAGGGTTTGGGATTGAAGGAGGACAACGAGGGAGTGAGGTCTTGAGGATGTACAGAGGAAGTGGGAGGAGTGAGCATGAGAGATGGATGTGTGGCGCAAGTAGCCATGGCGATAATGGAGGAGAGCTGGAAGGAAGCAAGCTTTGGCTAGCAATCTATATATGAGAATGAGAGAGATAAGAAGCGGTTTCTTGTTTCTGTGGTCCATTGCTGAGCTGATCATTTATTTTTAGTAAATTTTAGAAAATAAGAAGGCTGAAAAAAATATTGCCACAAATAATTAAAATTACATCAAAACCTATTTTATTTTATGGAGTAAAATATTTATGCATAAGTCTAAATATATCCACAAGAAATGAGACGACAAATCTAAATCACAAGCGACTTGTAAAACAATTTTTTTTTTTTGTTTCTTCTTATGCATGGTTTTTATTTTTTCAAAATTCTTATTTAAAACCATTTTTTTATTTTTATGTGTTTATTCTCTTATATATATATATATATATATATATTCAAACACTATCAAAAAGGTGATTCTCTCAAAATATTAAATTGAGGACTCAAATTAGATTTTATATTAAAGACAATATGTGTAAGAAGCTCAACTCTCTCTTATCTTTGATTTTAATCTATCACTTTTATATAAGCACTAAAGTTCTAGGCATTGAATTGTAATGAGTGAAACGTAAAAATTGAGTTAAAATCAACTAAAAACTATATGGATTAGGTTATACACCAAAATATAAGAATTGAGTTAAAACTACGAGGATAAAAAAATTACTTTTTTTTCTTTTATTAATAAATAAAACGGTTTAAGGTACTTAAATATCTTGAAAATATCTACAAATGGTTACCTAGTACCTCAAATTCTTTTGCTCTTATGTGTCCTGAAAGTTTTTTTCATAATAAATATATCTTAATCATTATCTACTGTTAATTTTTAAGTATTCCTTCATAGATACTTTCAAATATTCACAAACCTTAGCCCATAAATAGACTACTTTTAATTTCAGTGAATTAGGTGAGAGTAATTTATTATAAAAAGGAGGAGAATATATATTAACATAATTTAAGCTTCTTGGCTCTTTGCCATGTTCTTATCATCAAACACTACTGGAGCATCCCCAACTTCTACACAAAATATTCAAATAGCCATGGAAAATTGCATGTAATTTTTTTTTTTATGGAGGTCAAAATTTTGCATGAAAAAATTTGTACGTAATTTACAAAATCCACAAAATTTGAATCCAAATCTAAATATCTTTTTATTTTTATTTTTTTGGCCAAGGAGAAAATCCAAATCCAAATATCAAATGGAATGAAACTGACATTAATATCAATGTGCTGAACTGGTGATCAATAAAACTGAACGAACTGGGGACCAATGAATAACACGGAAGAGATTACACGTCATCATTTAGATGTGACACGTGTTGCGACCAAATTGACTGCTCCTTCAGAATGCATATGAGCCACACCTTTGTCTTGTCTTTTTTCAAAAAGGAAATTACTTTAATAATAATTTCTCTACGAATTATTATTAATGTAATCCTAATTATTATATAAAATCATAATTAAATTCAAGAAATTCATTTTAATAATCTAAAATTTATTGTAAATTATTTTTGTCTAAACTCTTGTTATGGCTATTTCAAAACTCTATAAAGGTCTCCTAAATTTGTATCGAGATTTTGTTCCTAAAAAAATAATTATAATTATGATTGTAAACTTTTGAATAATACTTTTTTTTTTTGTTGAAAAAAATGAGTCATCAACACGTAATTTTCCTCTCATCTGTGCTTGTGACCAGCAGACAAAAACGAAATGTCGTTTTGAGGTGGGCCTTCACACCTCAATATCAGAGGCTGCAATCTCTCTATCACTAAAATATCCTTCTATTATTCTTAATTTTCTGTGGTTAATAAATATCTTTAGCATTTTATGCGAAGGCAGGTCAATTTAAGGTTGTAATTGTACAAAGTTCCAGAATATTGATGGATGGCCTTGGGACATTATGTTAGATGATTCTGACTCGTGACTTATCTATAAGTTAGCATTATTATTCTACAAAGAAAAATATTTATCGATAGATCCAATTTGCAAAATAATTAATAAATTGAGTAATCCAATTTGCAAAATATTTATGGATGAATCTGACTCATGACTCATCTACAAGTTAAAATGATTACTATTAATATATAGAGAACATACTTCTGACTCCTGTCTTTTAATAACTTGGATTCTAATTTTAGTTTCACACAAATAACCAAAAAATGGAGGGGAAAAGAGCCTTTTTAAAAAAAAATATATAATTGTTAATCTCTTTTGATCCGATTTTAGTTTTTGTCCTTATAGTTTCATGAGGAATTGATTTAAGTTTAAGTATAATGATCAAAATCAAAATTTGTTGAAAGCATATAGACCATTCATTAAACTCAGACTACAAAATTATGAAACTATAAAGACTAAAATCAACTATAATTAAATCAAACTATAAAAACTAACTATGATATTAACCATTTTCCTCTCTCAATTAGGGAAAAAGGAAATACTAAAGCTAAATAACTTATCACTTGTACTTATTTTATGAAAAAAATCAATGTAAAGTCCCACATAAATAATTTAATAATGAATGCTTCATAACAAGTTAGTAGTATAGACTTATTGTCATCTCATGTACTGGAATTTTTCATTACATATATATATATATGTATATATTGTTGAGCTGCTCACTTATTGAAGGATTTTTTAGTGATTAAATTATTTTTGAGAAATTGCACAATGATTTTTTTCCTTATTTTATCTAGCTGGGTTACTCTCTTTGCACATAATGAGAAAACTCTGGGCTAAGCCCAAAACTTACTTATTTATGGAAAATAGCCCCACATATTGGTTATGGGCTTTGAGCTTGTTTCAGTCCATTACAAACTATGAAACTCAACAGTTAGAAATTCCATCTAAAACAGCAAAATAAAGTCAAGTCTAGCGAGAAGGAACTGATTTCCTATAACGTGATAAATAAATATTCAAATTTTCATAGAAAAGATAACTATATTTAATATCTGATCAGGATTGCTTCCGATACCTATGCTTAAAAAAAAAAGAAGAAGAAGAAATCCATCTAAAATAGGAGTTTGAAATCAGCCCATTAATTATATAGCAATAGTGCCCGCATTAACTTAAAACAAGAGCGCCAATAATGTATTGTGAGCTAGGTAGGTTACCCGTAGTTGAAGATTCTCCGGATATGTTATTTTATATTAAGTTGGGTCTATTATTATTTATTAATAGGTTTGGCTTCTCAACTTTTTAGGGAAATTATTTTATTTTAAAATAAAGATTCGATTTCTTTATCACTCAAGAAAGTGACATAGATGAGCGACAACGCAACTTCAATTTAATAAAAATTCAGTTCATAAAATTTAATTCGGTATGGTTGAGTTTATTAAATTTAATTATTTAATGTAGTATTAATCTTTATATTTTATAATTCAATTACAACTCAATTCCTTAAAAAAAAAAACGTAAGGATCAATTTATAAAATGCTGAATCTTGAATTATTGAGTTAAAGAATTATTGGATTACATGGACTAAATTGTAATTAATTCAAAATTATAGAGACTAAATAATAATTTTTTCATTTTAAAATAACCTCGAAAGAGTAGTGAGCCATAATAGATTAATATAATTTTGGTTTTAATCTCTCAAATTTCAAACTCATAGTTTTAGTTCTAGAAATTTAGTCTGTTTTAAAATGTTGGTCTTCATAAATGTGATAGTGTTAAAATATATTAAAGTGTTATAAATAACGTTAAAATGGTAATTTGAACTCACCAAATGGCACCTAATTAAATTTTGTGTAGATAACAAAAGGGGTAAAAAAAAAAAAAAGAACACGTAGCTGTTTAGCCTCCATTTTATCTTTCTCATTGTTTATTTTAAGAGTTATTTACTGTGCTGTTATTCATATAAAATCTAATTAGTTACCATTTGATGAGTTCACATCACTAATTTTACTATCATGCATGACATTTCGGCATATTTCAACACCGATGCATATTCAAGGACTAATATTTTAAGACAAACTAAATTTGAAAAATTAAAACTACGAGTTTAAAATTTAAGAGATCAAAACTAAAATAAACTCAAATTTTATATATTAAAAATTATATTAACCTTTTATAAAATGGCTGAGAAATTTTTTTTTTGTTTAAATGGCATCCAAATTTTTGTGTTCCACCAACTATTGCCCAAACTTCTTATTGTTATCTAAAAATTATATATCATCATTAACTGTAATATATGATTATCAGTAATACTACATCTCGTCCTTAATATATAATTTATTTGACTAATTTAAATAAATTAAAATTTTTTATTAGATTAGTTATTTATAATAATTAGATGTTGTCTTTCATAAAATATCTTTACTAATCATATATTAGCTAAAACAAACATTTTATTGAATTTTATCATGTGCAACTATTACAATAACTATTTAAAAAAAGACAAATATAAAAAATAAAATAAATTAAAATTTAATATTTAATATTAAATTAAAAATCAAATCAATTATTATATTAAGTATCAGTAGTATTTTATAGTATTTTAAATAATTAAATTCTAGCAAGTACTAAAGTCGGTGGAACCGGTGATGACTTGATATGCATGCGTGTCTGTTTCTGTTTTGTCAAACATTTTCTATTTATTAATAAATTTTTGTTACTCCAAAATATTTGAATTTCAAATAGTAAATCAATAATGTCTATCCATTTCAAATCCTATAATCTCACTCCAGCAAATTCTAATCAGTTATTTATAAACTATTATCATATTCATTAATCAAATTTGGTGTAATCTGTTGATTTCATTTTATGGTTTCTAATTCAGTTTTTTTTTCCTTCCAATCCCTGATTAATTTCATTTTAAGTCTCTATTTGTCATTTCCCCTCTTAGTCTTAATTTCATTTTGTCAACCATGTGTCAAATCTCTAAAACTCGTAACATATTGCTGGTTTGATGAGGATTATAATCTCAAACGGTAGTGCTTAACTCTCTTAATTTAAAAATTAAAGAAAAAGAGATAAATATTAATTTGAGATATGAAATCTGATATAAAAAAACTTTTTTATATGTATATTCACACTTGACAAAAAAAATGCATATTCACATACTTACACGTGAGAATGAATGTAATTTTCTTTTCTTTTCTTTTTCTATTTTGGAAATTGGTGAAAAAATTTAGATAAAAATTTATTTAGAAAAAATTATAGGAAATTTTATTTAATCTTTTATTTTTATATAAAATATGTTTTTGGTTTTTTAATTTTGATATGCCGTCAATCCTGAATGGTATTTTTGCAGCAATTATTAATAATATGTCATTATTTATAAATATTTTATCTAAAATTTAAAATTTTAATATTAACAATTTCTTATTAATCCAATAGAATTAAAGGATTGGGATTATTCAGGCCAAAATATGATTAAAATTTTAATATTAACAGTTTTTTGTTTTTTGTTTTGACCATTAGAGTTTTTTGTTAATCCAATAGAATTAAAGGATTGAAATTATGCAGGCCTAAAAATGATTGAAATACTCGAAATTAAAGGATTAAAACCTTGGGTCCAATTCCAGACTCCAAAGTTTCAGGCTTTCAGCACGTGCTCCGCATGCTCTGACACGAGCTTCATTAGTTTAGCAGCCCGTGGGACGTGATTTCCACGCGCTATTGGATTGATTTCTTTATTCGTACGTGGGCCCAAAGTATTTCTTTATTAGGAGGCATGATGAATTGAATTGTAAAGGCCAAGTGAAACAAGAAAGGGTGTAAACTTGTCATTGTGTCATCGATCATAATAGAATATCACAGCCATTTCCAGACACAAAAAAACTACAAGTCCATCATCATCGTCTTCTTCTTTCAAACGACATTTCAACTGCCGAATGGGTGCTGCAGAACCTGTAAGCTTCCATTTTTTTCTTGGCTTAAGCTAATTCCTGTAAAGATGCGGGCTTATTTCGTAAATAAGATTGCCTTTTATGTAAAGTTATGGAGTTTTTCTTTCTGGGTATGCAGGTGGTTCAGGGAGGGAATGAAACTGGAGCTAAAGTCAGAGAGGAAAATGGAAAGGAGGAGGAGGAGAGGAAAGCAGTGGATTTGGAAGGGGGTTTACGAGAAGAGAGAGTGATTCAGATGAATAGTAATGGAACTGGAAGAGAGAATCATAATGATCGTCGTGAAGACATTCTGCTCTCGAAGTTCCAGACGTTGAACCCCACTAATCCATTGAGGATTGTGATTAATGGACCCAATAATAGGGTTCCAAATCCTTCTCCTGCTCAATCTCAACGTCCTCAACCTCTTTCCATTCCAACCCCACAAGAAGTAAGTCCTGTTTCATCTCCAGAGAAATGGCTACTGCTTGATCAAGAAACAAGTTTATCACTTTAGTGAACATGACTTGTTTCCGTTAAAGCCTACCTGGAATCTCAAATCTTCTTTCTATCTGTCAAATTTTTTTCCAAAGTTTGTGTTATGGTCACGAAGTATGTACTTGTTTGCGTTGTGAAATTCTTGAAGCTGAAGCTAAGCTAAGCTAAATCTTTCTGGTAAGCTACTATATTTTCTGCTAAGTACTCAACCGATTAATCTTGAATTTTCAGCAGCGCCGGTTGACTTTGAATTCCAGAAGATATACGAACAGAATATCTCTTTTCCTCTTCCTTCTCCACTTGTTATTAGCTATTGCCCTGGTTTGCTTTCTTGTGTTTAAGGGAATTCAGGGGCTAATCCAAGGATCGGATTCTATGGAAAGGAAAGAGAAAAGACTATTAAAGTACTTTCTACCCCAAGTGGAAGCTGCAGCTCTCTTGAGCATCATTCTTGCGTTTGCATGGCAAAAAGCAGTTAGGAAATGGCCTACATTCATGGTTCATTTCATATTATGGTGCTCTTTTGTGATGTCTCTATCTGCTGGAATTCTCCTACTTTGTTTCCAAAAGCCTCCCACTGATGGTGTTGGAGTTTGTTTGGTTGCTTTTTCAATAGGCAATGGCTTATATGCTTGTTGGGTTAATAGGAGAATTAAGTTTTGCAGTAAGATTTTGAGTTTATCGCTGCAACCGACTTCAAACTTCACTGATTTGAACCATCCCACTTATTATATGCTTGGTGCTGGATTCTTGTGGATGACTGTCTGGATATTGGCTGTAATTGGAGCCTTGAACTTCTATTTCCCTCCTTTGGTCATCATTGCTTTGGTCTTGAGCTTGGCTTGGATTACTGAGGTCTTGAGAAATGTGGTTAATATCACTGTAAGTAGAGTCATTGCACTGTATTACCTAAGAGGAATGCAAGCAAGCACTCACTTTTGCTTCCTGAGAGCTTTAACCCGCAATCTTGGAAGCGCTTGTCTGGGGTCTCTCTTCGTTCCAACAATTGAAACCCTGCGAATCGTCGCCCGATTTCTGAATCTTCTTGAGGGAGAAGATGAATTCTTGTTTTGTTGTGCTCATTGTTGTCTCAATGTCATGCAGTCCATCTTCAGAAATGGCAATGGCTGGGCCTATGTACAGGTAAACTCAGATAAAGATAACTACGATGATATTTTTAATTGTCTGCTTATGGATAATGGTTAGATGGTACCAAGCATGGCAAAAGGATCAAACTTGGGCTTGTTCTTTCCTTGCGTATCTCTTTTCTTTTCAGCTTATGATATATTCTTTGAAAAGTTTTATTCTTTGGTCCCTAAGGATATATGCCAGATTCTGTTGTTCTAAGTTCACTAGAAAAAAGCGCAGAGTAGTCACCATCTGAAAGCACTTCAATTCAATGTGCTCTTCACTTTCGTTCTTCTCTAATTAGTTACTAATTAGTTAGTTAATGGCATCTGCTTTTTTCTTAAAATTTTTTTCAGATAGCTGCATATGGAAAAGGTTTTGTAATGGCATCTCAGGACACATGGGCTCTGTTTGAGAAGCAGCAAATGGAAGAACTAGTGGACTCTGATATAACAAGCGCAGTCTGCTTCTTCACTGGAATTTGCAGTGGATCAATCTGTGTCATTGTTGTGGCTGCTTGGACTGCTAAAGTACACCAAAGTTTCACGGCCACTCTGTCTCTTCTGACCTTCTTCATTGGATACCTTCTGGTCAGTCCATTCAATCCCTTATTCCCCCCTCCTTGATCACACTGAAATCATCAGCATGTCATGATCATATCTGCTATATTCATATGTTTGTGCCACATATCCTGTCATTTGAGCATTGTCAGGTTCCAAACAGATGATAATTCATTCCAATGTAGTTTTTTCAGGAGAAACATAGTTTTTAGTCCTTCAAATTATGGTTTTGGTTAACTTGAATTAAAATCCTACTAACTTTTTTGTTACGGGATCAATCCTTAGAACAGAATTGTGGTCAAAGTCCTTACTATTACCGAACATCATCGTCACATCAGTGACATGTTATTACCACATCACCGAGATATCATCTCTAAGAACCGTTTCCTTAATACTAAAATTATAGGGACCACTTAAACCCATAACCTAGTTTAAAGAATATTGAGTCCCTTTCACTCAGTTCAACTAGTGTTAATTCAATTTAATGTGTTAATAATGGGACCTGTTGATGAAATTGCAGACTAGGATCGCCATGGCAGTGCCTCACGCATGTGTTAGTTGTTACTACGTGTGCTATGCAGAGAACCCACAGAACAGAGTGTTTGATGAAACAATTAAAGATCGTCTCTCTTTGATGAAATCAAATCGTGATATGAGTGTGCGTACGCCTCGAGTTTCATCAAGACTGCTTAGAGTTTAGTTCACTCACAATCTGCTCAGATCCTCCTTCAAGCTTAAGCTTCTTCTTCTTCTTCTTCACTGTACAGATATTAGTTCATGGCCAACAAGTTGAGCCATTCATTTTTGGATGTTCGTAGTGTAGTGTAGTGTATTGTATGGAGAAAATGAGAATTCTTTTGAGATGGAGGCAAATAAGAAGAAAACTTGCATACAATTCTTTGTACTTTGAACTGTAAATTTCCATTAATCATAACATGACGGTAAATTGAATGGTTTTTTTACCAGAGTGATACAAAGGATGAGGATGCGTCTGGGGTTTATTTATTTTACACTTATCATTTCTTTATTTTTTTTATTTGTTTCTCTTTGATTACAATTTGGATCCTTAATTTAATTCATATTGTTGTTGAAAGAATAATGTATTTGTCAAGCGTTTATAACGGCTGTTTGAAATAGTTTATAAGCAGTTTTTCAATTAAGATTTACAGAATACGTAAGGAGTTTTATCTCGACTTATATAAAACATGTTTATAAGTGCTTACAAATATGACTCCAAATAAGCCATAAATAATGAGCAAAAATACACCTTAAACTTTATACAAAATTTTAGTTGAGTCTTTTAATTTTTTTAAAAAGTATCTTTTTAGTACTCTGGCCATAAGACTCAAATAATTTTTTTAAATAACAATTAATAACATCACATTTGGTTTTTTTTGTTTTGGCTATCGTTATATAAGTTTAAAAGACTGAAAATACACTACGTAAGTTATATATTTTTTTACTACCATAGGAGCAAATCTAGACTATCCAAAAGAATATAAAGATAAACTAAGTTATATAAAAAAAATTACAGTTGGTAAAGTTTTCAGTCTCTTAAGTTATCATTTCTTTATTTTTTTTAATTTGTTTCTCTTTGATTACAATTTGATCCTGAATTTAATTCATATCGTTGTCATTATCGCGGAAAGGATAATGTATTTGTCATGCGTTTATTAAGGGTTGTTTAGAATAGCTTATAAATAGCTATTCAATCGTAATTTACAGAATACGAAAAGAGTTTTATCTCGACTTATATGAAACGTATTTATAAGTGCTTATGAATGTGATTTCAAATAAGCTATATATAATCAGTAAAAATATACTTTAAACTTTATACAAAATTTTAATTTAATCTTTTAATTTCTTAAAAAGTATTTTTTTAGTACTCTGACCATAAGGCTCAAATAATGATTTTTTGAAATAACAATTATTATTACCTTAAAAATCAAAACTATTCAAAAGAATTTAAATATAAATTAAGTTATATAAAAAATCACAGTTGGTAAAGTTTTCAGTCTCTTAAGTTATTTAAAATTGTAGAAGTAGAATAAATAATTTAACCTTCAACTTCAAGGAGATTTCAATATATATAGCTATAATTTATAATATCCTACTGCGACTTTTCCCCCCTCTCTTTTTGAAGTATATGAGGAGACAGAGAATAGTCAAAGAGGTTTTTATCCAAAAACGAGTTCTCTAGAGTAATCAAAAGTCAACTTAAAAGCTTCCTTGTGGAATTGTCCAATTGTTGCGTATTTATGTTGGTCATCACTTGATCACTTTCATTTTATGCCTTTTTTATTGTCATTGTTTTTATATAATGATATGACATCCAATATAATAAATAACTCTTTTAATATTTTCTTTTAAAATAACATAAAATTTTTCTTAACTTATAACATTATGTATAAATAACTTTCTTAATCTTTAAAATACTACTCTCTTAAATAAAATCCTATTTGACTTTATTTGATCCTAAATATAAGACCCCAATCCATTTTGTCTCTCATAATACATTTTTTTTAAAGTACCCTTCTAACAATGATAATTCTAGTCAATACACTTGATTAGTAGGATATTTTTTAAAAAATAACACCTATTTAAGACAATAACTAACTCAACTTACTTTCTTAATCTTTTCAAATTAATCAACTGGCTCTTATAATTAGGACCAGAGTAGTATTTTTTTTTCAACTATAAGTTGCGTGCGGATAAGTAATGTATATAATTAATCGTATAATGAATACAAGAGTTTAGAGATTTTATTGTAAAATTTTAAAGGTTATACAAACTATTTGTATGTGGTTCAAAGTTCAGAAAGTTTATATATAATTTAGCCAGTTTTTTTGGGTCATTTATAAGATTCAAATTAACTTTTAATTTTTTTTAAGGTTAAAAAAATTAACTTTTAATTTTGAGATTTGCCACAATAGCCTTCTCACTTTGGACATATCTATATGGATAGGAATTAAGATAATGTAGCTGCATTTTCATAATGACATGTAATACGCAACGTAAGTAATAAAATATACCTCTAATTCTGGCTGGACTTTCATTATTTTGACTTTCTTATGCCCTCTTTTACTGGAATATGACAGAATATTCTTATTATTTTATATTAGTTAAGTCTTATATATGAAACAGAGGTTAAGAATAATACGTATATTATATATAATTATATAGATTCTCATTCTAGGGATAATTAATCTCCAGGTGCTTATAGTTTCATTTGATTTTTTAATTAGGTCTCTATAAATTTTTTTATCAGATCTTTTTATTTTCACGTGTTTTTAATTAGGTCGTTTCAATTTTTTTCTTTTTTACTAGGTCATTATAGTTTCACTTATTTTTTAATTAGGTCCTTTGTAGTTAAAAAATTTATTTATAAAATTTATTCTTAAAAATTAATTTCATTTTTAAATTAATAATTATATAATTGGACAAAATAATTAAGAGAATGATTTATTAATTAATATTTAATTAGAATAATCAATTGTAATTAAATATAAATCATTTATACAAAATAATTAATATAATCATTTAGTAATTAATAATTAATTAGAGTAATAAATTATAATAAAATATAAATTATTTATAATTATATTCTAATTTTAGAAAATTTTATTATTATAATTTGAATTTTTTAATTATAAAAATTAGAATTGAAAAATAAATAATACATATGTTTAACTAAAAATTTAAAAGAATATTAACATAATATTATTATAATAATTATTATTCATAGAATATTATTATTTATAGAATAAAGAATAAAATTTCAAGGACCTAAGTAAAAATAAGGTAAAACAAGGACATGATAAAAAAAAAAAAACTATAGGGACCTAATTAAAAATTGGTTGAAATTATAAAGACTTGCATATTAATTGTCCTAGATTTTATATATTTTAAAAATATCTCGTAAATCACATAAAAAATTAATTATGAAAAATCCCAAAAAATGATTATTAAATTTTAAAATTTCAAATTAGGAATTACTACAAAAATATGTTGTCATTTGCTTTTCGAATATAGTCATTTTCTTTACGAGTATAGTAACTAATACTAATTTAAAATTTTAAAATTCAACAATCACTTTTTTTGGAAATTTTTTCTTTCTTACAATCCGAACATCACTAGTCTCACACAATAATTTTTGAAAAAATTCCAAATAAATACTCTAAAAAATATAAAATTGCAATTCAAGTTTTCGAATTCAAAATTTTATTGCCAAACCGGGTTTAATATAAATTAGCAAATGTTGTATAAGAAATTAAATTGCCCTACTGTTTAAACTTGTTATTTGGAATATTGCACTTGTAATTTCTAATATCATACTTGTTATTCCCAATAGTTCACTTGTTATTTCCAAAAGGAGGACAACTTGATCTCTTACACAATATTTGCTAATTCATATTTAAGACCTAGTTCTTAGCAGCATTTTTTTGAATTCAAAAACCCAAATTACAACTTTCAATTTTTCAGTGTCTTTATTTGCAACTTTCCCAAAATAGAGACACACTTTCACCAAAAAACCTTGAATGATACACACACACACACATTAAATCACATCAATAGTTACAATTAACATTTACAAACTTAAGCCAATCGCCTAAGTTTACAGGTTACACTTTTATATAATTAAAAATAGACGTAGATTAATGAGGAAAATTATGATTTTGGCACGTTTCACTTACAAATATATCAATTAACAATACCGCAGCCTTTTGACTCAAGTCTCACATAGTCTATTATTTTCATAAACAAAATTTAAATTCAGAATTCAATTATATCAATTAATAATACTGCAGCCATGAATTCAAATCTTGAGGACTTTCTTGGTAACATTTCTAATAATCAGGACCAAAGTGTTAATTTGGGAAAATAGTAGTGCTAAAAAGCGCAAAGACAAGTCTAAATGGGTGTCTATTACAGAAAGCCACTACTCATATGGTGGAGCTGGTTGTCTATGTGGAAATCCAATCGGAGTTGATCCAAAGAGAAGGTTGGCGGAGACCCGATAACATTAAACTCCCGACTACACTCACGCGCCCTCCTCGCTCACTAGCGAATCAGCACACTTCAAACACTATTAGAATTTAGAACTTGGAAATATGAAAATTTAAACAAAAAGTCGATGCTAGGACTCATTTCTGCTCCCTTTGCTACAGGTAAATTAATGCTGAACATCTGATTAATTAATTTCAAAATATGATTACTACTCTGATTTTTAGTATAAGAGTTAAGTAACTAACTTACGAATATTAATAAAATTAATAAAATTAGTTATTTGTAATAAATATAATACCCTTGTTAGCCATATGCATTAAATTGAAAACATTTTAATATGTGCAACCACTACAGATACTACTTTTGAAAACAAATGAATAAATGGGGAAGATCAAACGGATTAAACTCTTATATTTAAGACTAAATTAAATCTCCAACTAATTCTTATATTGGGGGTGTTTGGCAACCTTCAAACCATTGTTTCAGAAGCACTTTTCCGCAAAACGAGACAAATTCTTTCACATATTTACTTCGTAAATCATAAAAACACTTCTGAAACCATGGTTTGGTTTCTATCCAAACACCCCCTTAGACTGAAGGTAGTATTATATTTGGAATGCTCAAGAACAAATTCAACAGTCTCCACCCACAAAAAGAAAAAAACAAAAAGGCGAATCACTAGAAAATATAACTTACTTTAATATGATTCACATGATGCGCTAGAAATGACCCCAATCCAATCCCACCAAGCCCTGCATACAACATAACTGCTAAATGCAGATTATAACAGCAATACTGGCGAACTTTATTCTGTACTCTTTAGATTATAACTGCTTTGAGACACTCGAAAAACCTAATAAGCAGATTTTGCCCCCATCAGATGCTCTAGACATGGCTCTAGAAATCCCACATTAGCTTAACACACAGCAGCATTGCTAAATGCAGATGAGAACAATACTATTAGTGAACTGCTACTCTTCTTTGCCCTGTTTGCTTTCATTGGCTCTGAGGAACTTTGAAAACCAGTAAGCAGAAGATTTGGGGTGCCTTGTGAGCCCATTTTTGTAATCCACATACACCAATCCAAAACGTTTAGTATAGCCTTGGGCCCACTCAAAGTTGTCCAATAATGACCATGCAAAGTATCCCCTCACATCTACTCCATCCCTGCAAATTATTCAAATGTATAAACAAACTTTGAGATTTGATCCTCCGGTATAGGTTCATAATTTGCTTTTAAAGTTAAAAAGATTTTATCCACTTATTTTTCATAAGAAGAGGTGAGGTAAGAAAGTTTTGCTTACTTTACTCGATGATTCTAAAATCCTGTACAAGAATGTCCATGTCACCTCAAAACCTATGTCACTGCTACCTAAAAAATGAAAATCCAACCCTTTGCAAAATAGAAGTTCTTGGTTTCGGGCTTCAACACTTTATTCTGCCACGTGTATTTCTATTCATATGAAAGACTTCTTTGTCATATATATACCTGAGATCAACTTTTTGCAAAGTGTGCAGCTCAGCATTCTGTATCTTTTTCTTTCTTTCTTTTCTATTGTATTGTGTCTTTTTTTTTTCAAAATATTTTTTGGCTGATAATAGGGTGTTTGGTTTTCAGGTATACCCTACGAAGAGAATTTCTACAACAGAAATCGTTATGCTTAGGGTAGAAGATACGGAGGTCAAATTAATAACCTTTTAATTGAATCACCCCTTTCTAATTGACCCGTTCAATACATCGAATAAAATAAAAGACTAAAATACAAAAAAATGACCTTGAAGATAAAAGTGACCCTCATACCCCAATAGTAATATAAAACGACAAAAAACTATTGAGTGATGAATACAAGAACATATTAAACACTAAAAGAATTAAGAAGAATATCTTTCCTGGTTATACAAAATGGGGCCTTATTGTGGATCATTACTGCTATTAAAGAGTTTAAGTATTCACAACATATTTCATTCTAAGTAAAAGTCGGAAAAATTCATTTATTGGCCAAAAAATAAGAACAAAAAGAAAAAGTGGGCAAACTTACTTGATTGCCAAAGCAACTGAGGCAAGATATTCCTTGTAATAGCGTACTCTCATTTTGTCATCTAACATTTCATTTAGTGGCAACTTATCATCATCTTCATCATCCATACCTGTCAAACGGAAAATACAAAGGTCAGAGAAATGAGAACCACTTAAGAATGCATTTTGCAGCACAACTGACCAAGTAAGCCTAAATATGTGACTGTTAAGATCCTTCGGAGGAATCATTTCCCAAAAGCTGGTTCATGAGGTTAGAAAGGTCAAGATTACCATAACCCACACATTAGACTCCTACACTTCCAATATGAGATTAGAGAACTTCCAAATGGATCATTAAATTATCCAGTACAACTAATTCATTAAAATTAATCAATTAGTCTGATAATCAATTTACAATATGTTCCGAACAGAAATCTGTTAGGCGCATGTTAAGGATTTAGGACAATGTCGATACAGCCCACAGTTATTATTCAAAAGGAAACCCAGATGTCATAAGGAGTCAACATTCAAAGAGATATAGAGATAGGCAGAGAGATATCAAAATCAAAATCACCTTTCAATTCATGCTTGTTTCTCTCTAATCTCACCTCCAAATAAATCTTAAATAAGTAAGTAGCCCTTGATACATGCAGATAAACTGAAGAGAAGTATCACATACCATTCTCAGTGACGTATACGGGGAGATTGTACTTCTGAGCTATGTAATTCAGAGTCTTCCGGATGCCCCAAGGAACAACATAGAGCCATTCTGAAGCAGCCTGCCAATCATTTCCAAGCATGTAACGTTTGCTTATTTGTGCATGCGTAGATGCGCACAATTGCAAGGATAGAGAGAAAAGATTTATACCTTCTCACCTATGAGCTCACCACCTTCCCATTCCACTGAGGATAAACAGAAAATTCAATTAGAAAAACAATTCAATTAACGGATATCTTGAAAATGGTGTAAGGCTGCAAGTATTACCAATTCTCTCCATTGCTTGTGATCTATAGCAGTGACCTGCTTCAGAGCCTTCCGTCACATGAGAAATTAACCTTGATGTGTAGTGGTTCAGACCAATGAAGTCCAGTGAATTTGCAAGCAACTTCTTATCCTCCTCTGAGAATGTTGGAAGTTGATCTCCAAGTCGTTCACGCATAACTTCAGGATAGTCTCCAAAACATAGGGGTTGCAAAAACCTGGATGAAATATATACAGAGTAGACATAAGTCAGAGTCGGCGTTGTATTCTCTAGACAGAAATAAAATAACCACAAAAAAAAAAGTCCGCATTCTAGCATATGCACAAGGTTAGATTGGCTAATCAGCAAACCCATAAAAACCAGTTTTGTCGATTCTTTTTTCACCTTCCAGTTTTCCATTGCTCATTAAAGGTCAAAGCAAACTGGGTATAATTTCATATTTGCAATAGTATATAATATTAAAAAATTATCACAAACAATGTCTGTAGCACTAAAGAATATTAGAGAGAAATTCTAAGTCGAAACCAGAAAATTCACTGAATTTGGTTTCTTATTAGTATGACATCAGCGTGATATAAATTTCCAGTGGATACAAGTCTTCCCATCAAAGGATTGAAACTTAATTAAGCATTACGTATGTGAGTACACAAATGAAACCACTTTTTTTTTTTTGTTGGATAAAAAATGATTAACTTCTTCGCTAAATTATAGCAAGAAATGGATAAAGGTATACTACCATCCAAGCTGAAAATCCAGGCGCCTTGCAGCAGCAGATTTATCTTCAATCTTATCAGAATAAGCTTCCGCCCATTCACAGTCTACCACCCAGCCCACTTGCCCCCCTTGCTTTTCCTGGAAATCAAGACAACAAGGTTAAGAAAACGCTGTCTTAATAATATCTATTCTTCCTTTCCATCATTGATTGTAAAACTCACAGAACAACTTTATTCATATTTGATAATCATACTAACAGTAGATGTGTAATATGAGATATGGCAAAATGAATCGCATTCCAGTAAATGTTTTCAATGCGTAAACTTTCTGCTTGAAACATGATATAGCAAAGATAATCAGGTAATGAAAAGAGACCCAACCAAGCCAGGTTAAGAAAATTCTATGGGGTCAACAGTAAAAAATTAAGTAATTAACATCATTTGGCCGATTGGCTGGTGTCCTGGAGCTAATTAACAACTTAGTAGTAATGAGTGGAGCATGCCTTGCTCTAGATTATTATGCCAGCAATTACTACTTACTGGTATCTAAGTATCATTTATTTTTACAAACCAAGGCCTAGATGAGAATAGTGGTATACAAAATATAAAATATATGCCAATGGAAACTTGCGCTAAGGAAACTTTTAACGAATTGTTCTTCCTTATTGTCAATTATGTTAAGAAGCCATTTAACTGAGTGGTGGTTGAGAATAATACTAAAGCTTGACTCCCTTGTATACGAGGATATGTTCCCACAGTGAGGGCATAACCTAAAACAATGTCCTTCCTTGGTTGGAAGGGATGAGATAATATGGATGGACAGTATAGGGACATGGCAATTTATGTGCTCCGAAGCTCACCATTCTGCAACTTTAGACGTGCATAAGGGAGTGAACTAGATGACCGCAAAGATGGGCATACTATGCTATTAAATGTTGAAATTGAGAATATGGACCATATTTGACAGTCATGTCACGAATATTATGTTGGATTATTGTCTTAATGTAAAAATATCAGCCCATTGTAGGTACGCCTGATAAAAGAGCTAATAATGTTTACCAAACAGATGTAATTAACGCTCAAGTGCCAAGACTACTACATTAGGACTTCCTTCCCATACTAAGTTAGAACTGCACAGATCAGGATCACCTTCAATACTACCACTTCTGGTCCCGTTAACATGTTGGAAAAAAAAAATGCTACTCATGGTAATATAGCATAAAGTGGTTTAAAAGCCAAGATAAATGCCATTATCTGGATGGTCTGACATTAAATTTGTGCCATTACTCTTACAAGCTATTTCATGCATAATCTAATATTATAACAACAGTAACAGACAATGACAGACTATGATATACACACGGTTGAATTATTCAAAAAAAACATTCTGGGGCATCAGTAAAGTACAACACCGCACCTGGTACTTGCTTCGGTATACAGATGCAGCTGCTGCATGAGCCAAGATTTGATGATGTGCTGCTAAATATGGTTCTGTTGACGAATTTTCACATCTTCCTGGCGCAAATACCCCAATATCGTACCCATTGATAGCAGTTTGAAGGGGCTCATTGATAGTAATCCAGGTCTTCACTCTATCACCAAAACTTGCAAAGCAAGTGTCTGCATAGATTGCAAAATATTCTCTGGCGTATGCCATTGATGAAACCAGAGAGATTAGAGGATTTCGAAGAAGGAATGTTAGGATAGAAGAGGAAGAAGAATCTTTAGAAAATTAAAGGAGCAGAGTCTATCTCATTAATAATCTCAAGCCAATGAAGAAAATGATAGAATAGATAGATTTAAGCGAGTGGAAGAGTCTTTAGAAGATATGAGCGAGAATATAACTTAGACATTTTCCAAAGCCAAGGGAGATTCTCCATAGAATTCAATTAATATTCATTGCCTTCCCTCTGAATACATTCATCTGTACTTTCATAGCCTTGACACATGATTGAATAATGAATATCAACTCCAGAGATGACATGATATAGAAAAGAGGACTAATTAGCTACTGTTCTTTATTAGTACAGTAACAAATGATAAAAAGGAGGAAATGAAATACTAAATTGAGAAAATCATGAAGCTTGTGAAGCAACCTAATGAGAAGCATATGGAGGAAGTAAATAGAATCTTGAGGTATCTCAAGACGACCCCAAGCAAGTGGTTGTTTTTCCAAAAAGGAAATGACAGAGGCACACAAGTATACTTCTACGCAGTCTAGGCCGATTCAGTGGTTGAGAAAAGATCAATCAATAACTATAACACTCTGTAAAGGGGAATTTAGTTCCTTGGAGAGGTGAGAAAAGTGTCGTTGCCAGAACTGAAGAGGTAGAATTCCAAGATTTAGCAAAAACACGTGAAGAAATATGGATTTAGATGCTCCATAAAGAATTAAGTTTCAGAGTTGACTTGCTACTGAGGTGTTTTGTGACAACCTGGCAACAATTTTGAACTATTTGGAATAAAAAGTGACATCACATCAAGCATAGGAATAAAAAGTGACATCCAAAACCATATTTATTAAAACCTATGCAGCAGCAGAGCAGAAATCCGTCACATGAAGCATAGGAATAAAAAGTGACATCACAAGTACTTGTTCACATCTTCATGCCTTGAAAAATATAACATGAAATTAGGAAAGAAACAAATTGTAGGAAGGAAAAATTAAATCAGCTGCATATCACTTACATGATTTTTTTATCTAACCATCCTCCCATTGACTCATGGAGATGCAGCGGAAGATCCCAATGGTACAAAGTTACATAAGGCTGAATACCTGCTGGTAAAGAGTTCTTAATATATATTGTAGTCGTGACTACAAAGAAGTGTAAAGATGAAACAGTTTTATACCTCTCTGAAGAAGAGCATCGATGAGGCTATTATAAAAAGCAATCCCTTCATCATTGACTTTGGTTCCTAGACCGTCTACATGAAGGGGGGAAAAAATTAAAATTAATAATATACCCATATTCGTGGGACAATTTAAACAAACAAAGAGTTGTCAAATATGCAGAAAAAATATAAATTAGGCAGCAGAGGCTGGGAACAAAAGCTTATCTTATTCGCAAATACACAATTTAAAATTTGGTTATTTTCATACTTCATGGGTTTAAGAACATCAAAAAGAATCATTCAAAAACTAGAAAAGTCGCTAGTATATTTTTATTGCATTTTGTATGCCAGGAGATTTGATAATTTTTTGGAATATGATGATTTTAAATTTTCCTTCATATGTATATTTCATTTACATGCATAAGTTTTCAATTTTATATATAACAGGGTATCAGTTGGTGAGAGCAAGCTTATAGTTTTAGTGGTTTCCATCTCGGACGTCCAAGTTATTGTCGGGATAGGATCACAAATCAAAGAAGCAAATTCACAAAATCACTTTTGACTGAAAATAATAATGTCAGCAGACAGTCCGTGCCAAGCATTTATAAACTCTCATGATGATGAGCTTAACAGAAGGAAATAGGGTATTCTGTCCCCTTAACAATGAAGAAACTCTTAAAACCTTTAGGCTGTCATTGTAATGAAATTCTTTTAAATTGTTTAACAACTAACCATACGGGAAATCTGTTAAAATTCTCATCAGCAGCAAAACATACCAGGGAAGATGCGGGACCAAGATATTGAGAATCTGTAAGCACCAAAACCCAACTTGGCTATAAGATCAACATCTTCCTGTTAACATAATTATGTGCTGAAAGGTCAGCAGAGTTAATAATTGTATTTTGTTGATTTCCTCTGTACCCATGGAAACCAGTTCAGATTAAGGGAAAACATGGATGAAAATAGTATGCACAGCAGCAGAAGTCCTCAGGCAAATTATGCATAACTAATGCTGTAAACACTAGTTCACGTCAAAACAAAAAACCAATAAACAAACAAAAGAAAAATAAATGTATAAGATATATAAAAGAATGATATTGCTGACCATGTACCGATGATAATGATCAACTGCTACATCTCCATTGCTTTGGTCAATAATTTTTCCTAACATAACAAGAAATGGAAACCAAGTATGATAAATAAATGAGACAACAATTTGCACCATTCAAGTAAATTAATAGACAATCCTCCCGAAATAAGTTCCTATACCTTCAGTGTGTGTAAAGGCATCCCATATACTTGCACCTCTACCGCCCTCCTTGCAAGCACCTTCTACCTACAAATAAGAAACAAGGAGTGAAATGCCTGATTGAAAAATTTCAGCATCACTTACATTATAAATATTAGTATCTAATAGTGAATAATTTTTCCTATCAAAGCACTCAAAACAAAACACTAATCTTTGTTGTTCTCGTAATAAATTTATCATGAAACATTTAAAAGAAAACATTGAAAAAAAAAAAAATCTTGAAACTACTCAGACTGATTTCCCTACGAAGATCAGTTTGATTCTATATGAATTCAAGTACAGTTTGCTAACAGCTGTGTTGAATAGCTACCTGAAACATTAGAAGTAGCAACATCACCATATATCATTTTTAATAAAATAAAACTAACGAAATTTATTCATTTAATTTCTCCCGGCCAAACATTTCAACACTGATAGTGGGAACGGCATAATATGGAGTAGTGATGATCATCGGTAGGTAGGGTACGATAGTCTCCATCTCCAGACCCATATTTGGCAAAATCAAAATTTTTCATTCCTACCAAACCTTTCGATTCACATGATCTGAAGTATTTACCCAGAATAACTAAAAACGAATAAATATCTGCCAAGTTGATGTTTCATTTACGTAACATTTTTAACATATAAAAAACAAAATATCTCAATCAACTATGAACATAATTTAAAAACAATAAAATGTCGCTTGGATGAACTTTTTTTGGGCCATAAACAGTCCACATAGAACACAAAACAGCAGATGCCCAGGTCAAATTTGAAGGACATGAAAGCAATCGCGCAGAAAAACGACTGGAACACCCACCAAGACATGCATACAGATACATTCTCATTAGAAATTTCCGCAGACTCAACTCGAGAGTTCAATATGGAAAAAGAAAACAGAAAAAAAGGAAAACCCCATGAACATCCGGATCATATTTTGCCCACAGAAAAGAATAGCATAAAAAATTGCACACTGCTTCCACAGATGAAGCAAGTGGTTGATGTGCATCTGATCACAGACCTGGTAAGATGAAGTTGCAACGCCGAAGACAAAGTTGGGAGGGAAGTCGCTGCGAGAGACTTCTCTGTTGACAAAACCATCTTTGTTCTCTCCATTATCATTCACAATTTCATCCTTCTTCGCCATTGCCAAATCGCCCTCTTCCACTCTTATCTACTGATAGCAGAGAACTTTGTCACTCCTCACCAGAGCTGAAACACTCCCCAAACTTCAAGTCTCAACTAGAAGAGCAGGCAAATTCGACGACGCTCTTGCGTATATTATATAATGAAACGAAGACCCCCATGAGAAGAAGAGAAAATGGAAGAACTTTGGAGTAATTTTAACGTCACTCTTTCCTCTCTAACTATTTATCTCACTTTAACAGTGGCTATTCACGTATCTCACTTTAACTTCTAAAATATTCATAAAAATATAATTAGGACTTTAAAACTAAATACTGCTCTGATTTTTAATATATGACCTAATTATTAAGTTAATTTTAGTTTTAAATATAAGACTTATTTTTCATATTTATTAATTTTTTTTAAATTAACTCTCTAAATATTTTCTCAACCATAATTAAGTAGAAGAGAGAAAAAAGATATTACGAAAAATGTTTATGGTGTTTTAGAAAAAAAACATGTCATATTTCTTTTAATTAACTAACTAATATGTCATATTTCGTATAATTAACTAACTTATCTAACTTTCTTAATCTAATCAAATTAGTTAAATAAGTCTTATATTAAGAACCGGAAAAGTAATATGTAGTAATTAAAGTTATCACATGTTTTGTCAACCAGACATTATTTATCTATTAAAAAGTTTATCAAGCCAAATTTCTTTTTGATACATCATCAACCCAAATTAATTATGAAATGATGTCATAAGTTATCCAGATGTACCATACTCGTCAATCAGGGAAAAAAATCTCTTAACTTACATCGATAGTCAACATTAAAATAGTTGGCAAAAAAAAAAGGCAACATTAGAATAACATTAAAATATGATGCAGATATTTAGTTTTAAAAAAAATAAAGATAAAATGAATGTCATTTAACTTGCTAGCTATATCCACTCAAAAAAAGAAAAAAAAAAACCTTGTCAACTATCATCTCATAAATATACATATACATATATATAAGGTTTGATAGCCCATAGTACCGAAAAATATATATGATGGTATAGATAAATCAAAAAATATTCCAATAAACATAATTTAAGATAATAATTTAAGGAGGTTAATATGGGTTTACAATAAATAATTAATTTAACTAATTTTTTAATATTTTTAAATTAGTTATCTAATTCTTATATTAAAAATAAAAAATAATACTTAATCAGCAAAGTCATATGAAGGATAACTTGGTATTTTCATGTGTGTCGGGGGTAATTATTTTATTTGAATTGTAGAGCGAAAATGTTGTCTAACCCAATATCAATCTAAAGGCAACGCCATAGTTAAGGGCAATGTTGTAATGACATTGACACTTCAAAAGTGACATTTAGGGCCTGTTTGGGTATCTCAAAACCGTGGTTTCAGAAGTACTTTTCCGCAAAACGAGATAATCTCCTCCACATATTTACTTCGTAATCCGTAAAAGTACTTCTGAAACCATGGTTTGGTTTCTATCCAAACACACCCTTAGTCCAATAAATAGGGGGACCTATGATTTTGCAACTATTTATTAATCCTATATTTATATATTAGAGAGGAGTTCTTAAATTTATTTTATAACATGTCGCTTTATTTATATTAGGGTGATCTAACAAAATCATATTATCTTTGATCCTAATTATAAGAGTTAGTTAACTAATTTAAAGAGATTAAAAAAAAGTTAAATTAGTTATTTATAATAAATATATGTTATTTTTTTTAAAATATCTTTACTAATTAAGTGTATTAGTTATAACTACTAAGGAGAACTATCTTGGAAAAAGAATTTATAAATATCAGAGATAAAATAGATTAAAATCTTATATTTAGAATTAAAATAAAAATTAAATAAAATCTTATATTAAGGATCGAAAATAATAATTGAGTTGTCATCATATTTTATTTTGTGATAATTAAAAAAAAAAAAAGTAAATTATACTCTCTCTCAGACCCCCATGTGAAAGCAGATGAGAGTGCGGGGTCCACTTGATGGTGACTTTTATTTATATTCATCACCGAAGCTTCTTTCACTTATACGAAAACCCTGTATGAGGCACGTGGCCGGGCTCGATTCATAAATGACTATTTTTATGTCAAAACTATGACGTTGCTCTGGTGGGAGGCAAAAAAAATTAATATAATTTTTCTCATTTTAATTTTAATTTTTCAAATTTTAAATTATAAATTTTGATCTATTTTAAAGAAAAAATAATTCAAGTTTTTATTAGATTAAAAAGATTAAAATTTTAAGTGAAAAGAAAATTTGAGAAACAAAAACTTATAATTTAAAACTTGAACGATCAAAATTAACATAAAGATAAACTTAAAAAAAATTAAAGATTATATTTTAAAAAAAAATATTACCTTGTGATTGTGCAGTAAGACGATCTTCGTGTGTTTGTAGTACTTTGTGGATATTATCATATTTAATCTACATATATAAAGGGAAGCCATCGTTGAAGTACATCAAGTTTCATTCAATTTTGAGACTAATATTGGTGTGTTTTTTCCTTTTTATTAAATCTTTTCATTTTACCCTATTAGTATAATTAGCTTCTGTGTGTGGACTAACAATACTAACAGATCAAAGCTATACAAGGGTGCTAACAAAAAAAATTAAAAGATTTAATAAAAAAAGAAAATCACATAAATACCAAATTAAAAATTTTAAAAAAATACAGGTAACTCAAGAATGATTTTCCTTAAAATATTTATAAGTTGCGCCAAAAAAGGGTAAAAATGCAGATTTACTTTAATTTTATCTTTTGGATGCATCCAACATCTTATTTTTTTTGAAAATGCAATTTTATCTAAAAATCAATGGCAAAATTTTAAAAAAAAAGTATGGGTAAAATTGCACGCTAAGCGTGCGTTTGGAATGCTATTGGGAGAGGTAAAGGTGCATAGAAAAGTGTGAAACCTTAGTAATTGACTTATTTAATGGTGATGCATTGTTTGGATTCGAGTAAGAAGAAATGTGTTTTGGAAAAAAAAGTCATGGAGAAGCAAAAAGGCCAAAATTTATAGCTTTTGAGACTGACGGAGAGGGAGAGAGATAATGACTAATGAGGTGAAAGAAAAGAATTTTGAAGTGAGTCCTACTTTAATAAAAAATAATAATAAAAGAATTAAGATGCATATGGTATCTTAAAATATTTTTTCAGATACCTCCAATACTCTAAAATATTTTTAAAGTGTATTTAGTATCCTAAAATATTTTTTACTGCAAATTTACAAGTAAAAATTTTGAGTGTTGGATGCACCAAAAAATAATTCAGGATATTAGATGTACCCAAAAAAATAGTTTAGGACGTTGGATGCACCAAAATATAATTTAGGGTTTTAGACGCATATAAAAAAAATTTCAGCACCCTAAAATATTTTTTAGTGCAATTTTATACTTAGTAATTTTGTGTGTTGGATGCAAAGAAAGTATCACTAACAAAAAAAATTAAATAATAAAATTTACAGAAAATTGGGAAAAGATTTTCATGGTTTTTTTTAGTTATTTTACATGTAAACTTATTTTTCTATTATTCATCTAAACAAGTTTCAGTTTGGCAAACGAACTAACTTTTACAAAAAAATCAATCCAAACATACACTAACTAATTTTTATCTTGACTGACTTTTGCAAAAGTCAAATGAATTAAAAGTCAATTTTACCACTATTAATCTAAACACATCTTACAAAGATTAGGATATTGGGTGCATTTGAAAAATAAGCTCAGGGATAAATTTACAAAAGGTTAAGGTGCAAATTTGTCTTAAAATTTTGTACCCAAAAGTGTTATTTACTCGAAAGCTTTTTAGATGTAAATTTACCCAAAAGTTTAAAATTGTAATAATATTACCCCCTATTATTAAAATAACTAATGTTAACCATTAAAATAATAACGTTAACTATTAACATTTTTAACAGTACGAAACAATATTGTTGTGATTATAAACTTTTGAAATAAATTTGCACCTTAAAAAATTTCTAATGTTCAGAAAGTAAAAACTTTTCAAGAAAATTTGCACCTTAATCCATTTGCCTAACTTATATATACATGCAAGCATGTATACGTACGTACATATATATAAAATACGGAATTAGCACAAACACAAGTGAAAAAGCTTTTAATAATACAGTTTCTTATAAGTATTATTTAAAAATATTATTTACCACAAAAAGTGCTAATGAAAAAAAGGACTCATTAAGATTAAAGTTTGCTTTTTATGAGAAAAAGAGGTTATATAAAAGGGAATAAAAAGAGGCCATTTTTCAGCAAATGTTCCCTTTTATCGGTTTTATGCATCTACTTGCCCAAGCCTAGGACCCAAAAGGACAGCCCCATATGTGAACCACCGTATGCCCAAAATCTCTCTTAAAAGACAATATACCAGAAAACTAGAACCACACAAATTTACATGAACATCCTACTTACAATCAGGTAGAACTGGCCTTCATTCCCTTTCTAAAAAGAAATCTACGCACACATAAAATAATCCCATGATTTATGTCTTGTCCAAGCACTTTATAGTAATTTTTTTTTAAAAGATTCCAGCAAAAATAAGTACAAACATGCTTAATCCAATATTTTAAAATCCGAACCGGATATTGAGTCGAAAAGGATAACGGGTTATAGTTTAACCGACCTGTTAAACCGGTAATATAATAATAAATAAAAATAATATTATATATCTATATGATAATATATATATGAAATTAAATATTAAATTCTTAAAAAAATTAAGAAAAACTTAAATATCTCAAGTTTACCTCACAACTCACATAATCATTGAAAATAATATACTAAATATATATAACTTTATATTAATCATTTTACATAAAAATAAAATATCAAAATATGCAAATAAATAATACAAATAAAATGACAAATGAGAAATAAAAAAACTTGAAACAAAAAGGTGATCGATGGGTAAATGCGATGTGATGGTGGCTGATATTAAATGATGTTTACTTTTACAGCACTCAAAACAACTTCTCACTTCCACCAATTTTACTTTCAGATTTCAACCTTTCACTTTCAGGCTGTCACAGCAGCTTTCATTTTTCTCATTCATGGCCGTCCCAGCTTGCAATGCTGGTGGAATTAAGTGTTTTTAAGGTTGCATTTCTTTTCTCTCCTGTGCTATCTTCTTCCTTCTTCCCCTTTGATCTTTTTTTCTTTCCCTTTTCTTCTTTTTTGATCTGGGGTGATCTCAACTCCGATTTAGTTTTTTTTTCCCTTCCCAACCTCACATAAATGCATAACAAACTCAAGCTGAGTGGTTTTTGCAAAACCGTCCGGGTTTCCAGTCCAATCACCGGCTCAAAACAGGAAGGTGTTCCGGTCACCAGCTGAACCAGTCCAACTGTTCGATTCAATCCGCCTTTTAAATCATTCAAGTTTCATGCTAAATATATGAGTTATGAGGATTCAATACTGTTCTTAAATCATCACACATAACCACATCATAATCAAAAGACATATATTCATAGTTTTCACATCAAGAAATTTCTCATCCAAGAAGCAATAGCTCATTCTGGCCTATATTTTATATAATAAGCCACAGCTTTTCATAAGAATATACAATATTAAAGTTTCATATGTTCAACATTCAATATGTGAAAAGAAATTACATAAATTATCTCATTACCATTTTATATCAACAGTTTCTACTTTCTCTCATGAAGAGAAACTCATAAATTAGTAAATTACTCCTTATAAAAACTCTTAATGTCCAAAAGAGCTCAGAAAAGCTTAAATACAATAAAGGAAACATTTCCAACCCATCTACTCTATAAATTTTACCTTTTTTTTTTTGCCAGCCACTCTATAAATTTTAGTACTTAATTAAGCATGTTTAGAAAATCTCAGCCATATAAACAAAGTCTTTTTTTCCCCCCCGTCATCAAATCAAGCCTTATTAATTACGCATGAGAAGTCACAATATTAAATGGTAGACAATTGGATCTTTCTTACAAGAAAAGCTATTCAGCATGTGACGCACAAAGCACCAACCTTGATAATCTCACCCATCTCGATGCATGCCCTTTATTTGTTTTCTGGTCTTCTGTCACCATCTCATAGTAAAATCAGGCTTTCCAAAGATCCAATAACAATAATCAGCTCCGAAGATTGTTCCTAGATTGTTTTTTGTTGGGTTGGCAGTGAGCTAGTCGTCAAATTTTGATTGGTCCCAAGAAAGAAAGAAATTATGAAATGTAAATCATTACAGGTTTTGATTAATTAATAATAACTAAAAAGGAGATTGGTCCCATTTATTGAATTCATATTATGATGCGTGCTCTCACCTCATTCTTGATTGTTTTCACTTTCATTTTCTCACACCTACTTGATTAATTTACAACCCACACCCACATCGTTTGAAAAAAAATCCTAGTTAAAAAGATCTCTAATAGTTAGTTAAAAGGATCTCAAATCGTTCAAATTGCTAAAAATCTCACTATTATAAAACTTATTACTCAAAAGTATACTCCTCTTATCCTATTTCTAGGATAGAGAAAGAAGACTTTTTTTATCTTATTCATAAGGCATTTAGAGAAATATTTTATATGGATATACAATTTTACCCTTCATTTATTATTGTGTTGATTTTGTTTATATCAGGTATAATGTATATTAAATAGGGATAAAATTAAAAAATTATTAAATTTAAATAAGAGTTAATGAAGTTTAAAGTCTTTCTTGATCTGTGTGAAACATACTAGAAGTGACTTATAAATAAGGATTCCGCTTCAATTTATCTTCAACTGGTGCCGCTTTTCTTTAGGTATATATATAAGATATCTTCACCTACATGAAAATGTTTTTTATTTTCTATATAATCAAAAATAGGTTGCATATAGTTAAAAAATAATTACACTTGTCAACTAAGTTCTTAAACAAATTTTAAGTGTATCTGGACAATAAATTTTGCAATAGGATCAATCAATTTTCCCCGTAAAATCACTGATACTGATACTTTTTTCCCAAAGAAATATCATATCAAATCTTCACAAGAGTCATAAACAAAAGCAGTTCGAATAATTTCTTGTGTCTTTCCCCACTCCAATATCCTTTCACAATCTTCTTGTCTTGTGCAAGAAAAGTCGGGTGATGCAACACGTGGCGATTTCCTGAACAGCGTCGAGGGAGTCTTTGTGAATTCACCTGCTTTCAATTCCATTCTATATATAATATCTCAATTTAATTTATTTTTCATATTTATTTATTTTTTTAAAATAATTTTTTATAATGATTATACATATTAAATATTTTATCAGAATAATAATTTTAGTTAATACACATAATTAGTAAGGATATTTCAGAAGAGACAATACTTATTTATTACAAATAATTAACTTGATAAAAATTTTTAATCTACTCAAATTAATCAACTAGCTCTCATATATTAAAGATAAGAGGTAATTATCTAAAATGAATTGAATTATTTATTGGTTACAAATAATAATTTTCTAATTCTATTTATAAGTTGTTTCACCAAAATTGAAAAAACCACCTTAAAATTTCACAACTTTTTAAATTTACTCTTTTATATATATATATATATATACTTTTAAAAAATGCTAATCTACATCATCATAATAATAATAAATAAAAGATAAAATAGCATTTTTGGGTCACTAGTTAGAAATATGACTTTACAAATTTAGACAGAAGAGAATTCAAATCTCAACGCAAGTCTCGATATTTTTCTACGGATATATTGATATTTATTGATTATTGATTGGTTTAGTCCAACGTGATTAACCTGAAATAACTGTATTTTATGTGACTTGTCATCAGTTTTTTTGTTTTTTTAAAGAAAACTATCGTATTGGTTTGAAGGAGGAAGTTAAAAGGAAAAGGCATTTTGAAACAAATGTGAGACACATCCGATTTCTCTCCGGGTTTTTTTTTTTGAACATCCGATTTCTCTCCGGTTTTTTTTTTTTGAACATCCGATTTCTCTCCGTTTTTTTTTTTGAAATATCTCTTTAGTCTGTTTAAATTATTATTTCGATTAAATAAAAAGCCAAGAAGTGTTAACTATAATAGTAAGTAATAAGTAATTAGAAATAGGGCAGATTCATTTTCAAAACTTTTAATAATGACAAAAACAAAGTGGGTTATAAACCAGTGGACTTTTAACTTCAATTTTCTATTAACCGTCCATATTACAAACCCGACCTTTTGTTCAAAAAAAGGTTTAACCAGGTTTGCTTAACAGACTTATCCATTTTGAGATCTAAGTTAGCATGTAATGCAACAAGTATTAGAGAATACTACCTGCAACCCTTAATATGAAAAAGTTAGACAATTAATTTTTTAAATATTAAAAAAATTTAGTTAAGTTAGTTATTTATAACAAATAAGTGATGTTTTCCATAAAACACTATGTTAATCATGTGCATTAAAATGAAAACATTTTAATGTGTAATCATAATGGAGACTACTTTAAAAAAAAATGAATAAATATAGGAGACAAAGTTAATTAGTGTTTTATATTTAAGAACAAATTAAATTTTTAACTAGATCTTATATTTAAAACCAAAATAGTCGAATTTTACAAAATAATTCACTAAGTTAATGGCATGCATCCTCTATAACAACAGATTTAATAATGATTATTTAATAAATAATTTTTAATTTTTTTTCTCTTTCTTATTTGATTAAGGGTTTTTCATTTCGAAACCTAAAGTGCAGAGAGTTTTCATTTCTCCCCACAAGTGGATTTTAAGGGGGTGTTTGGCAAAACCAAAACCACGATTTCAGAAGCACTTTTTCGTAAAACGAGATAACCTTCTCCACATATTTACTTCATAATCCGTAAAAATACTTCTGAAACCATGGTTTGGTTTTTGTCCAAACACCCTTAGTGTTATTTCTTCTTTTCTTTTTCAACCTTTCATATAGAAGCCAGTAAGCCACTTATAATATACTCAGTTCTTGGGCAAGAAGGAGTAAACTGACTGCCTCTGTGGACTTCTATTTCGCTTCATTTTGACAGGAGTTCCATTTATATTGGGCTTGTTGGGCTCTAATCCACTAGAGAACACATGCCATTGATTAATTATCACATCGGTACTAATTAATTAATAGAGAAAATCACACACTTATTACATTATATGATTAAAAACAAACCTAATAATTAACCAAAAGAATTAATTTTTTAAAAAACTACCAAGTTCTATTATTGAAGAAGAAATAAGTAACAAAGGGAATTAACAATACTAATAATATAAAATAGGTAGGTAAGTAACTAATTAATATCTGGTAGTATCAGGAAGAGGAGTGCCATCTAAGAAGTGTCTGAACAATGAAAGGGATCTTGCTGCCTGGTAGCTTGGCACTTGATGCCCTGCGTTCCTCACTGTTGCAAATGTTAAATCTCCCTTGTACACTTGGGTGTACCCTCCAACCTACAATTTTGTATTTTCAATTTCCAAAAAATAGTTTATTAATTTAATTATGCAATAATATAATATGTGTGTGTATATGCCGCTTTGGTTCTTAATATAAGTCATTTGCAACATGTTGTTCTCATATATCAAAGAATGCATTAAATTGACAAAATTTTCCAATTTTACTCTTATTTGAGTTCTTACCCTCTCTTTACATTTTCAAATCATTCACATATCTTTTCCTTCTTTCTGTTTTTTTAATGAGAATTAACTAAAGGTAAAATTAGAAAAAAAAATTGACTTACATTTAAAAAACACAAGTCAAGTTTTCAAAAAAAATATTTTATTAAAAGTATCCTTAATCAAGTTAAAAAAATAAAAAATATATATAAGTTCTTTTGTCAGCCTGACTTTTACCATTTATAAATTGTATTTTTAAAATGAGTAATAAATAATTTATTAAATTTCAGAAAGGAGTTATAAATGAGTTGCTGGGAATTACGTACCTGTCCATTGAAGTACCAAGGATGCCATGGAGTGTTGACTTTCATATTCATAGAGTTGAGAGAGTATTGTGTTGAAGTCACTGGCACTCTTCCATCTGTGTCTCCACTGTTTTTAACATTCACATTTTTAATTAAACTCTAAAATCCTTAAGTGTGAACAAATTAAAGATGAAGAATATAATATACTACATTCGATATATACTTCTTATAAAAGCTAGTTATACATTGAGTTTGCAGGTCCTAAACATAAAACCTCAATCAATTTTGTCTCTTGAATTTATAATATTTTTTTAAAATATCCCTATTGATTATAAGGAGTTACTACCAAGAGATAGTTCCAATACACATGGTTAAATAGGGTAATTTAGGAAAATCAACACATATTTGTTATAATTAATCAACTTAACTAATTTTTTTAATATCTTTAAATTAGTTATCTAACTCATGTATTAGGATTGGAAGCAGTATTAAAGTACCTGAAAATCCAAACCCTAATTCCATGGTCCATGAGTTGACGTAGGATTGGAAGAGTGGAAGAAGGGCTATCATGCCAACCTGAAATCACATCACTGCAAGGTGCCCACTCGTACTTCACCTTTGTCACATTTGCATGAAGTGCCTCTTGAACTTCTTCTTTATTCATATACGCTATCACATAATATTCATTACATGCGTCCAAAACAATCTGCCAAATGAAAAAACGTAGTTTTCAGGTTTTGATTGAATCATATGAATGAATGGGTGAATATATATATATATATATATATATATATCTTGTCTTACAGAAGTGGGGTTGGGAGTGGCTGTGAGATTAGGGTTGTTGCAGATAGGGGCATAGATGTTGTAGATATCAATATAGTAAGAATCTCTGTCTACTTCCTCCAAAGCTTCATTGCACTGTTTAGGTTGATTTTGGGCATTTGCAGAGAAATCACAGAACTTGTCAATTGTTGAAACTGTTGAATCCGACATTATCGCATGACTTCCTAGGAAATCGTACATTCCTTTATCATCTGTCTCATCATTTATCGCTGCGTTCCCTATCTGCAATAATACGTATATCGTCATATTATCTTCAACTTCAAATCTTCAATACCCTATTTTCCTTTTGCTCAGTAAGTATGATATAAAATCTCTACAAGAGAAGTCACATTATATTATTCATCGTTTATGAGTAGTATGCGCACACAATTCATGTCAGACTTTGTACAATACCCAAGAAAACGTGTGTGTAGTTTAAGGCTCAAAGTTTCTGTAGCATTTTCTTAATTTATCAGAATGAAAACTAAAATCATTCCTTAATTACATCAAGAGCGTTCAGATTAACTTTTTAAAAATCATTTTACTGTATACAAGCTAAGCATGTGAGACGAATTTTGTCTTGACTTGTATGAAAACACTTTCTTTTAAGTGATTGTAGGGTCTTGCTAAACTCCCAAGTTTCAATATCCGATTTCAGCACATAAGAGCTTCATTGTAAAAAATTTAAAAAAAAAAAAAGCTCAATTTCCAGGTTATCAGATTTCAACTCCATTACATAAAGCACCAAAGATTTGTTCCTATTTAGAGTCTTCAGTTTTCATTTCTCGTTTCTTAACGTGTAATTCATAGTTTTAAATATGGATAAATTTTTTTTTTAAATTTTCAAAACAAACTTAACGACTTAACCACATCTCCATGATTCTGATAAAGTGCGTGGTTACAGGTGCTTTATAACAAAGGGAATCATCGCTTTCACTCTTGTCAAAATCCAGTTCACTGGACTGAGATGTTACAAACTAGAACATAAGTAACAATTAATTATTAGAAGACATATATAGACACATACCATGATTCCTTTAAGGTTGATGATGGTGTTGTTGGCTTTGATGTTATGTTGGAGAATCGTTTGAGCAAGTTGAGGAACATAGTGGCCAGCATAGCTTTCTCCAGTGATGTAGAAATCTCTGTTCTTATATTCAGGAAACCTCTCCAACCAATTCAACAAGAAGATATAATTATCTGAAGCTGTTCTTTGGTCGCCATTGTTTTCATAATCTGATGTTTTGTTTGAATATGAAAATCCCACTCCAGCTGGTGACTCCAAGAACAATACATTTGCAGCTTCATAAAAATTATATTCAAAACCACAAACCAAGTTAATTAATTACATAACTAAAATAAATTAAATTCTTAGGGCTCATTTGGAACTGCAATTAGATAATTTAAAAGCAGCTTTTCAATTATGATTTGAATACAAAGTAAGTGTGTGAGGGAAGATTTTGTCAAAATTTATGAAAACTACACCTATGTTTTTCCTCTAATTTATAAGCACTTATTACAACCAGCTCCAAACAGGCCCTGCCAAACTGAATTTTGATAAATGGGCTTTTTGAGAAAATTGACGAAAGCCACACCTATACTCATTCTTTTTTTCTCTAATTTATAAAATGAAATGAGATCTCATAATTAATTGTTTGGTTTTAAAATATGAAGACATCTTTGGAAATAAAAATAAATTAGAGAGGTAGGCAGGTACCATGGTTCCATGAATATCTGTTTTTGAAAAGGGTTTTGCCATCACTGTTGACTCTGAAGGGTCCAAGTTCTTGCATGGCTCCATAAGCAAGAGATGAACATCCAGGCCCTGATTTAAAAAAGAAAAAAAAAGTTAACTTTTCTCATTTAACATGAACGATAAAACTTATATCAGCATGCATATATAGGATATATATATATATAGAGAAGAGATATCACAATTTTCTAAGTCTTTGTTATTGTTTTGCTATCTATATATTTATCATAATTAAACTTAGAACAACTCTGATCCACATGTAATAGTAATAATAATAATGCTGATTAATAAAAAAATAATAGCAATGTTTAATTATGGCTTATATTCTGTTATACATTTGCAACTATAATAACAACATGCACGCCAAGAAATCCTCCATGAGTGAATTATGGGATCGCAAATCATGAAAATATAATTATTTATTTGAATTTATTTAGAGTTAATCAATTTAAGCATATCCAAATGAAAACTGTTATTTTTATATTAAAGATAATAAGTTACAGAAAAAGAGGTTATTCAGCAGGATATCCTTACCAAAAATATTAAAAACTATATATTTTTCAGGCTGGCAATATGCAAGTACCAATCCACGACAAATGGAGAAAAATAATTGCAAAATTAATACATTCTTTTTTTAGAAAATTTTTAATTACATGATGAGAAACAATATATTATTTTCCATATATATGCTATAAGATTAATCACAATTATTGATGTTTAGTGACACAGCTAACATATATAATTATCCAATATAAGATGATGCCAACAATATAATGTATATACAGTTTTGATGTGGCCAGGTTCAGAAACACTTTTTATGGCATTCTCAATTAAATGCTACTCATTCCAAATTTAAATGTTGGGTAACCCTTCGTTTGTAACTTGTAATTTGTAACTTGGAAAGCATAAGTGGAATTTTTGAAATCATAAATAAAATAATAGCTTACTATTATAATTATTGAAAAGAATTTTAATTTTTAAATTTAATTCCCAGTCTTTCTAAAATGTTCATACAAAAAAATTAACAAATATTTCATTTACAAGATTTGATAACAAGAAGCAATGAACATGAGAGCAAATTGTTATAATAAACCCTAAAAAGCCCTAACATGTTTTAAACAGTCTTCATATATACAAACGGCATTAAAAAGATGCATTACTTTCTGTTTCCATCTAACTGGCCATAATCACAAAACAGGAAAACATTGTACAGATCAAAAAGAACATAAATCAAACAATGAAAAAGAAATACAATGAAATAAATATTATCAAAATTAGGGTTTAATTTTATGACATTTCTAATAATATATATTACCTCCATTAAGCCAGAGAACGAGAGGCAAATTCTGCTTATTTCTAAAAGCTTCTGTGAAATAATAATAAAAGGCTCGTCCTGCTTCTTCATTCACAGTCACATACCCTCCATACTGAGAAAACCTAGCAGGAGGTTGACCTGGAAGTTTCTGGATTCTATCTTTCTCCTTGAACCCTTTTTGATCTTTATTAACATGAACTTCAAAATCAATATCTTCTGCTTCAAAAAGGCTCTTATCAATTCCTGAAATATTATTATCATTTTGGCCTCTCAAATACTTTAGCTTCTGAAACCTGTCTTGGGTTTTTGCTTGCTGGTTTCCATGGAAACCAGAGGCCACAGAAACTGAAAGAACAAGAAGAAGAAGAAGACGACGACGATGGTGATGGCTTTGTTTGAAGAACATGATATGATTGTTTTGTTTCTGAGAGAAAGAAAGAAAGTGTGAGAGAAGTGGATGAGAATAAAGATGTATATATAGAAGAGATAATAATTATATTTGTTAGAGGTTTAATGGTGTTTTAAACCTACCATACTACTGAGACGTACGTTAAGATCTGTTTCATTTTTTTAATTTAATATGTGAAGTAAATTGAATTTTATGAAGTCAGCATATTATGTTGATTAATAAGATATCATAAGTAGGAGAAAAAACCTGAATTTGTTACGCACCACATTGAAGTTTTCAAATCAATGAACAATCTTTAAAACCCTATGCAATTTTGATATTCTTACATTATGTATGCATGTATGTATTAAGTATTGAAAATTAAAAATAAAAGCATATGGAACCTGGGAAAATATATGCAGAAATTTTGAATAAAGAATGAAAAGAATAAAATAATACTATTTGAAACTGTATTTTTAATTCATAACTTATACATATAAAGTATATTGTTTCTAAGCAGATGAGAATTAGCTGTAGCCTATATATGTTAAAAGAGAATAATTGTTAAAGATCTGATAGTGTTTGAAAGCAAAGCATATGGGACCGTACGTTAAGATTTATTTCATTTTTAATTTAATAAAGATAATTAATATCTTTAACTATTTGCCATTTGGTGAACTACAATATCAATTGCACGACATTGAAGATTTCAAATCAATGAAAAATTGGGGAGAAATATACCTTAACTTTTTTCACAAAAATTATAATCTTAATTATTACCCCACTTTTAATTTCACCCTTACTATAATTTAATTTCGACATTTTTTTGCCGGACATTTCCACGGATTTCACTCAAGATGAATAATACTCTTTTGGTCCTTAATATAATACCTATTTAACTAATTTGATTATATTAAAGAAGTTAGGTAAGTTAGTTTATTATAAGAAATATGACATGTTTTTCCTAAAACTCCATAATTATCTTCCTTAATATCCCATCTCCCTCTTCTACTTGATTATGGTTAAGAGAATATTTATAAGGGTAATTTAGGAAAAATTGATAAATATGAGAAATAGATCTTATATTTAGGATCAAAATCAACTCAATAATTAGGTTCTATATTAAGAATCGGAGGAGTAATAAGTTTGCTATGTATTTTATATTTAATTATTTATATATCAAGGATGAACTCCTGTTGCAGGTTATTGAATATGATTGAGACAATGAAAAATGCCAACTTAGTATATTAGTATATAATCGTGTTAATATAGGTCGACTAACTAGATATGTTTTCATTTTAATGATAACTAATAATAATATGGTTTATTATAGATTTTATGTTTTATATTTCTATGTACAAGTTAATTATATATATAGACAAAGGTTAATAAACGTTCACTGGGTTTTATGAATAGGGATCAACATAAAATTTTGTAAACTGTATATATTTAATTATTACTTTTTTAATCATAGAGATTAAACTGAAAATTGAATCAAATCATTAAGCTTCTTCTAAAAGGAAATTTAAATATATGAAAATTAAATTTCTCGTTTCTTGAGATGGTCTTATAGACTTGATCAACAAAAGAATGGAATTAATTAAGTTGGGTGGCTATAATTAGCAGCATGGACAATAGGAAGCGTCTCGGAGGGTTCCTCATTGCAATTTTTGTTGACTACTAAAAATATTCTAATGCTTGAAAATCGCAAACCAAACAGAAATAACTAATTATGCTACAATATCGTTCTTTCATAAATTAAGAATTAGTTCGTGTGTGTCGTATATAGTTTTTTTTCTTCAAACTATTCTATTAACAAATCATTAATATCGTCTCAAACCATCGCATTAAAAAAAAAAGGGATTTTAAGTTATATAAATTAAAATAATACTTTTTAATTATGATGTGGTATAATATTCTGATTTGAAGTGAAAACTGATTATAGTGTAACACCTTCCCTTGTTAATGTTAGCTCTGCCACTTGTCACGGTGGCTTAGTTGTTAATGTTAGCACCATCATTCATTGATGGTGATGCACATGATAGGAAAATGAACAATTAATTGTAAGTTATTAAATCGCAACGCCATGAAAAATACAAACCCAAACATATTTGACAAACTAGTGTAAAGTTTGAGATAGTATCATACAAAGTCTATGGGAAAATTTTTTGATGTAAAGGTATGATAGAATCTCATTTGCTTAAATAATATATCACCTCAGTTCCTAATTATAAGAGCTAATTAACTAATTTAAGGAGATTAAGAAAAGAAGTTAAGTTAGTTATCTATAATACATGTGTTGTCCTTTCTAAAATATCCTTGCTAATCAAGTGTATTGGCTAAAACTATCATTGTTAGAATGACTATTTTGGAAAAAAAATACATAAATATTAGAGACAACGTGAATTGAGGTCTTATATTTATGACCAAAATAAAAATCAAACAAGATCTTATATTAAAAACCGAAGGTAATATTTTGCATATAATGCCGTCATAATATAATAGTCTTCTATTAAGTTAGTTGTCACTTGTGCTTCCTTGCTTATCAATGGTTGTATTTTAACTAATCAATGAATGTATTCTCATTTGTTATTTTCCTATTGCTAACAATATCATACAAAATTTTGTTCAAACCTTGAAAAACGTAATATAAATTTATACGTCATGCTATAACATATAATATATAATTTCCTTGGAAGCGCCATAAATCTCATTGCAACCTCATAGCTTCACTCAAGGATTTAATTTCATTCATAAATAACAACAAGAAGAACAATGTACATTTGCTTGCAAATAAGATACAGATGAGATCATTACTAGTTACCAAAGAGACCATTTCCAAGTTAGGCATAGTAGTTACATTATAAAACATATTTTCACTTTTATAATTTGCACATCTATCTTTTTAGGTTGCCCATGTAACTTGCTCATTAATATCTTCCTCTTCCTCAATATACTTTTCCAAGTTTGTACCATCGTCTCGTGGAAGCATGACAGATCAGCTTAATTCTCTTCACAAACCATCTTGAAAAGTACTGCACAACAAAAAGTTAAGAATTATGCTTCTTAGAATGAGTACACTAAAACAAGCTTGAAACTAGATTAAACATTTGACAATTACTTATTGCAAGATACTTGTTCACACTAACAATAAATAATGAACAAACGATTGCTTAACATTCTCTACAACTATGATCCCCAACAACAACTCTTACCTTCTTATTATGTGACACGTGACTGGAAGGTTTCACCGTAGAATGGACACCACACACAATAATTTGACACTGATGATCGAAATACCTGATAGGGGCTACCAGCAATAGCTTCAACAACTACTAAACAGCCAGCATATCCCACAGCATGTCAACATCTAATTTATATGAAACATGGGGGAAAAAAAAGGAAAATCCGAAAAGAAAAGAAATTTTTTTGTTTAAGTGTACAAGTGAAAATCCAGTTGAATCAATTTCGTCTCTTCGTTTTGAAAAGTAAGAGAGAAAAGACAAAATCTAAGATAGAGATAGTCCTTGTTAAACGCTTAAACCCATATAGACTAGAAAATATTATCAGAACAACTTCTACAAAAATCTAAGCTAGAAAACCAAATTGCAGATATAGGACGATAACTGCAGCATTCATATAAATTTAAGATATGCAAATAGCAATCGGTAGAGGATTATGCAGGGAAGAGAAAAAGAACTGCATAGGTTTCAGAAAATGAGAGAAAGAGAAAGAGGCAAACATGCCTTTATAGTTGAAACCGTTTGCTTGCAAAAAGCGTTGTCACAACCGAGAAATTCATCAGAGAATACAAGGCGGTAGCATCAGAGCTAATAAAAGACCCATCCATAGTTAGGGATTAATGGAGATGAAGGTTTATGAAGCTTACCTCATGCTTAGAAGCCATTTTCTACAACTTACAAGGAGGATAAGGAGAAGCCATGAGAGCCCTTGTTCTTCGTTTTCTTCCTCTCACTCTTTGATTGGGTTTTCCTACAGATTCGTTGGATAGAGAAATCATTGCATATAAATAACTTAATACACACGCGCGCGCACACAAAATAAGCCGGAGAGGGCAGTAGAAAAAGTAAGGAAAAAAGGGCATGAGTTTAATAATCAAAAGTTTATATCAAGACTCAAGAGGAAGACAAGAAAGGAACAGAGAGATATGAGCAAGAGGCAATAATAATCCTCATGCAACGGATACCCAAACATACTCTTAATATGATAACATATTCACATAATCCCCATGCAACGAATATTCAAACATACTCTGAGATCATAACATATTGGCATCAAATTTTCCTTTTTCTCATTTGGAGCAGTTTCCCAAGTAATAAGAATTGTGCTTGTCAAATTTACCCCAGCTAATAAAATATTTTGATTATCCCCCCCCCCAATCTAAAATAGTTTAATTTTTAAAATTTTAAATATAAATTTCTATATATATTTAAATGCCATGTACCTTGAAAATGTTAGCCTTCTAATTTATATTTCGATCGCACCCACGATAATCTCCACAAAATGAACCCCCGTCCTTAAAAAGATAAAACGTTTGCATGTCTAACAATTTCCCATTGCCCATTGTAGAAGAGAAGTATACCTGATAAAATTATAACAATAAGGAACATATCATCTGGAGGCTCTCCCAATTCCAATTGGTGAATTAAGGGCAGAGTTAATGACTCCAAAGACAAACTGCGAGTGTTTCACGGTGATGACCAATAAGTACTTCCCTTGTTCCTCATCTATATCCTGCATGACCAATCAGACACAAGGGATTATACCAATTTCTTTAATCTTCCAATTAAAGAATCCCCACATGAGAGAGAGGGAGAGTCCATCCTTGTATTCTGTGGGGACCTATCTCGGATGACAAAGGTGTGGCTTTGATCCTCTAGCTACAACCAAGATTGACCAGGATGCTTCTTGACACCTCTATGATGCATTAAACTCCTTACCCTAGCAACCTCATCCCATCCACGGTTATCAGCACACATATTTGACGACAAAATAAAAGCTCCTGTATCAAAAGGTGCAACTTGAAGTAGGATCTCAGAAACCCACTTTCCCATTTCAACGTTTTTATGAAGTTGGCAAGAAGATAAAAGAGATTTCCATACAGAACTGAGGTGAGAGATATCATGTTCAAAGATAAACTTCTTAGCCTCAAGTAAGCACCCTGCTCGACCATAAAGATCAACCATACAAGTTAAGTGTTCGGGTCCTGGGTCAATGCAATAAACATCTTTCATCATCTCAAAATATCTACGTCCTTCTTCAAGCAGGCCTTTGTGGCTGCATGCATTTAAAACCCCTAAGAAGGTAACCTCATTCGGGGTAATATCCAAATTCATCATTTCTTCAAAAAGACAAATCGCCTGCCTCCCTTTGCCATGCAATGCATAACCAAACATCATTGAGGTCCACAAAACAACACTTGGATCATTGATTTGTTCGAAAATCATAATAGCATCAACCAACCTTCCAGATTTAGAATACATATCAATTAGAGATGAACCCACGTAAGCATCTATTCCATGTCCAACTTTCTGAATGTAGGTGTGAATCTGCAGACCAACATCCAGAATTCCGATGCTGGAACAAGCAGAAATAACACTTGTGATGGTCCTAATGTCAACTGTAACTAGTTCGCGAACCATAATCTTAAATAATTTTAAACCTTCTGCATAATTGCCATTAGAAACACAGCCAGAAACCATTGAACTCCATGAAACCATTTCAGCCACTGGTTCATTGCAAGAAACTTTAGACATTTGTGATTTTAGAAAATTCAAGGGTATTTCTCTGAGGATTAGAGATGCTTTATCCATTCTTGAACATTTGCAATACATTTCTACAAGTGAACTCCTTATAAAACCATCTCCATTAATACCAAATTTTAAAACACGCCCATGAAGTTGTCTACCCAGCTGCAAAAGGAATAAGGAAGAAGCCAACGTAAGAGCTATAGAGAAAGTGACTGCAGAGAATTGAATTCCACTATCCACCATATAATGAAGTTGTTCCAACGCATATCTTTTATAACCACATTGCATCAGTCCATCTATGACTGTATTCCAACTTACAACATCCTTGTAAGGAAAATTTCTGAATAAGTTGAGAGATTTCTCCACATCTCCAGTTTGCATATATGCACCAATCATTATATTCCGTGACACAACATCTCTCTCTTCCATCAAATTGAATAATTTGTTTGCATATTGAAAATCTCTGCATTTCAAATAAAAATCAAGCATAGTATTATGCAGCACAACATCTCCATCAATGCCATTTAGCAGCATCCATGCATGGATTGCCTTGCCGAGCCAGAGATTGTTTCCAATGGAGCAACACTTGAAGATACTGGATAATGTATACTGATTTGGAGCTATAGATGCTACCAGCATATCTCTGAAAAGGGTAAATACCATAAGGGAAGAGCCCAATCGAGCATAACCTGATATGAGAATGGACCATGTTTGGGTGTCTTTGAGGAGAATTTCATCAAACAGCTTATGAGCGCTATCCAAATTGTTGGATTTAAGATAAAGAGTCAAAAGAAAATTGGCTGACTGAGAAGCTTGAAGAGAAGCATTCCTGACAGCCACAGCATGAAGAGCATCAACTGGCGGTGCATTGGCGAAGTGGGGGAGGGACAATGAGTGGTGCCAACAGGACAGAGATGATGGAGTAATTAGATGCTTGAAAGAGGAAAGAAAAAGTGAACGAGAAACCATACATAGCAATATCATTCTCATTTCACAGTGGCCAATACCTCACTCATCTCACTCCATTCTAGACCACTGAAGGCATCTACATCCATAATAAGCAATGGCTTCCATGTGAAGGCATGAGAAAAATGCCACCATACAAAACTTCATGTCATATGCAGGACCTGCAATCTGAACAAGAAAAACTGCTCAAAAGCTACAAATAGTCACAAAAATAAAGAGGTTAACTAAAAGGAGTGTCATATCAGTGGATATCATACAAACAGTAAAGCATTGCCAATAAAACAACTGATAATGGTTGTTCAAAGGTTCGTTTATTAAACATGACAAAAAAATGAAAAATACCAGTAAATAAAAGAAATTTACAATTTTTCAGAAATTATGAAGAACGTGCATGTCTCTATAATTTTATCTGTAGAAAATATGACAACCAAAAGAAGTTTAGCCAGAACAAGCCACTCAGAGAAGGAAACATAGCTAATCACAGAGGCAAATAGCATGACACTAGAGCCAACAGTTTACTGCAGCCAGATGTCTGCATGTAAAACTGTCACTTAAAGACATGCTAAGCAGGCACAATTGATGCATATGATGTATCCCTATAATTAGATGGTTTTCTATATCTAATCTTGGGCTTTTAGCATGAATATGGGGTTGAAGTGTGCTAATTAGGAGTGTGTGCTTAAGAGTTTTGTGAGAATTAATGGATTTATTGATAAAATCAGTGTTAAGTTTTATACTTTCAATTTAACAATCAAGCATCCCAGCAACAACACATCAACTAACACTTGTATGATACAACATCTTTGGCACATGAGCACTTCTACTCCCTCCTAAAATTTCGAACAACCTTCCCCCCTCAAATTTGGAACTTCCAGATCCGAACCTTACCCACACAACTTCCACAGTCATCCATTCCAACGGCAACAACAATTATATAGAGATTGAGATTGAGGGATTGGGACGAGGAAGAGATGAGAGGTCGACAGCATCAACTAACTGAGATTCATGAGCTCACGGCCGACCGTGGCATCAAGCAGAGACAGAGCAAGGCGAGCCGCCGCGTGCATGACGTGTGGCGTGCCGACGACAGTAAGAGCAAGGCGCGAGGGCGCCCTGGGAGGTGAGATTGAGGTCTGAGGGGACTGGCGAGAGCGCCGAGAGCCGGAGATGGAGGGCCGAGCCGCTGATGACGCCGAGACACAGAGACACAGAGCCACAGAGCAGAGTCACGATCACGAAGGTGAGTTTGAGAATGAGGGTGCGAGAGCAAGAGTGAGCCTAACCCCGTGTTTGGTTGGATTTTTCCGGGGGGAGGGCAAGGAAGTGGAGGGAAAAAAAGGATGGAAGGATTTTTCATTTTTTTTAGAGAAAAGTAATCTGTATTAGTCTCTTTTTTTTATCTGTAATCTGTATTAGTCTGATTAATTTGCCGAAATTATTTTTTTTAATATTTCAATTTTACTCACCCTTCTTTCTATTTGTCTTCATCGTTCATGGTTCTTCTATTTGTCACTCTTCTGTTTATGATTCTTTTGCTTGGTACTCTTTTAGGTAAATGCATTAACAAAGGAAATTGTTTGGATAGAATTAGACTCTTAGATACCGTTTAATACGAAGCATTAAATATGAGGGATGGAAATTAGAATTGAAATTGAAAAAATCTATTAAAAGAGTGTTTAGCATGAGGGATTGCTTATTACGTGAGATTAGACAAACCTATGTATGTGGGATTGAGGAATACCATGGGGGAAAGTAGTATTCCCCAATCCTACTTCTATGGGTTTGTCTAATCTCATATAATAAGCAATTACTCATACTAAAAACTTTTTAATGAATTTTTTTAATTATAATTTTAGTCCATATCCCTCATTTTCAATGTTTCGTACCAAACAGGACCTCAAAGTCTTAGTTCCAACTTTGTTGAATCCTTAATCCCTAAGGAGTCTTGATCAATGTTGAACTAACCTCCATGGCAACAACCTCTTCTTCTTGGTGGAGAACTTCAACAAGCTTGAAGGAATATATTCACTGCTCTATTTTGAATCTCCATAGAATCAGAACTAGCAAATTATATGGTTATACTCTAGCCGGCATTTTGATAAGCCGACAAAATATTAATCCTAACCTACCATCAACCAGCGAATTCGTATTATCAGCTCTATTCCATAGAGGAAAAGATGTCATAATACTATTATATAAAATGAAAAATGAAAGATGATTTAAAATTATTGTGAATATCTATGAAGTCCTTCAAAATTAAACAGAAGTCATAAGTAAGCCTATGATGTTAGGTCTAAAGGAGATTATAAGCGAAGAGCATCTAAATAATATGCAACTTCTGCTTCTTGCATAACTAACGCAAAAAATAGTATTTATAGTGATATTTTGCACTAGTCTCACCATAGTATTAAAACTAAGTCGAGTCAGTCAATAAAATCAATAAACTAGTGAACTGATTTGATTGAAACTTCTGCACAATGATTGGATTGAATGTTATATTTTTCCTCCCTTTATAAACCTAAAACGGCATCATTTTAGGTTAAGGGGTGTTTGGTGATATCCCAATAATCACTTTTCAGACACTTTTCTACAAATCGGAGAAATTCTTTCACATATTTAACTCGTATACCGTAAAAGCATTCTGAAATTATGGTTTTGATCTTACTCAAACTCTTTAAAACATAGTTGTTTAGCTGTCACAAAAAAAAAGTTGTTTTATCATTATGTGTGTTTTATGCATATACTAATATTTTTGTATATCTTAATTGTAATTAATTAACTTCAATTTAATTATAGTTAGATCAATAACTCTTAAATCACTGCCTCACCAGTTTATAACTGGCATGATTTTCCTATAATGCATAATAAATACATCTGGTTATTAATTCTTAAATACCAAGAGAAGATGATGTTTTCATAAATTTTAAATAAAAGATTAAAAAAAACAAATCAGAGTCAACTTTCAGAAGATCCTACCGGGTTTAGGTAATGGTTGTTACCACTTACCGGGATGCTACAATGAAGTGCAAAGAATCTTAGACTATTCTTTGGCGGGCCTTTTTATTGGGTTTTTGTGGGAAGAAACGCACACAAGTTTAACAACGGATTCAGCTCTGTACCCAAAAAAATAAAACAAGGGATTCAGTTTAGTTAGTGATGAGCACCAAATGTCATCCGTCCAAATTTAAATGGACGGTTTAGATTTAATATAATTTCTTTTTCATGTTCTTAATAGTTTAATATTTTAATATCTATAGGAATTAACATAAAGACTATCCCTTACCCGTTAGTTTTTTTAATTAAAAATTAATTTTTTATTTAAAAACCATTTTCTCGGGTTCGAAATATAAACATCAAAACTTTGAAAGAACTTGTTTTTTTAAGCTATAATTTAGATTTATCTCATCATTTAATATACTGTTTTATTTTTATACTTAATTAATTATATGTCTTTCTCATATATTTTTTCACTCATTCTCTTTTCTATTTACCCTCTCTATAAATAAAAGTGTTTTAAAAAAAAATAAGTTGCATTATTTACATATATATTGTATTTAATTAATTTTAACTAACCTTTTAAGTCACATAAATCAATTATTTGATGCTTATATTTTGAAACAGAGCTAGTATTAGTTAAAATTTTTAAATCTAGACTGTTTGAACTGTATTAAGACAATGTAAATCTTATCTCATCGAATCAATCAAGACACTGATAAGTATCTAAAATCTAAAAATGGCATCTAAATTGCCATCCATGGTCAGAACTCCACTCTTCCTCTCTACACGTAATTAAGTTTTTGGTATTATATGACGTGCTGAAGTAGATTGTTTATTCAATATATTAATAAAAATAAACAACTTATTACATATACCTAAATGTTTATTATCCTTTTTGAAAAAATGTTAAATACCCCAAATAAAATCAACAGAAGTGCAAAAATGGTACATTTTCAGGCCAAAAACAAAAACTAAAACCAGCGTTACATCTTTTATTTATTTTATAAATCTAAAAATGAATTATAATAATAAAAAAATAAATTATGCCTTCATAATTGATAATGGGTAAGTAAGTGTGAACACAAGTTAATGAAGAGGGTAAGTACACGCATGGTGTGTCGTTGACTTACATTGTCGTTTTGTGTGTTGTTAGTGCGTTTGGCTATATTAATGTCGTTTCTTGAAGGTGTTCCGTTCCCAGCATACCTTCTTTTATTTTCTTTTTAAAAACACAATTTAGATTTTAAAAATAAAAATATTAATATTTCAAATTTTAATGAAATCAAATGATAATCGTCATTTAAAAATATTGCTTTTGTAAAATAATTAATTAAACAAATATATTCATTCAGTGAAACTATGCCATTTAGCTATTAGAATCTGAATATAGTTTCAATAGTTGGATTAATTTTAATATAATTTCAAAAACACAATTACCAATTAGATTCATTCTGATCTAATGATTAGCATTGCATATGGAGAGAAGCTTAACCCTATTTGGTATGAGGGAATTGGAGGAAATGGGAGAGGAGGAATTTTTTTTAATCAATAAATTTTTAAAAAAGGGATTGGGCTCATCCACAATCCAAAGACAAGGTACCTAATACTTGATCCATTGGGATCTGTCCCTATGAGCACGGAAGCATGACAAGCAAGCCTTTTTTTTTTCCCTAACCCATAATAGGAATCTCCTAGCTTCACTACGTTGTGATGATGCCTCTCCCAGTGTCGCGACTAGAGCCACAATAAAGTGGCGCTCCACAGGATCGAATCCCCTCTTTTTGGTGAGAGAGTCTGATCCCTTTGCCAGCTGAACCCACGAACGAGAGGTGAGAAGGAAAAATTTTAATGAGCTCAATATAAGAAATTAGAAATGTAGGGTTATAAAATGTTGATAAAATAATATGTAAGATAAAAAATAAAAAAAATTAATTAAGATTTTTTTAATCCTACTTCTTCAATTTTTTAAACCAAACTTATTAAAATTTTCTCTCCCCTCCATTTCTCTCATACCCAACTAAACTGACCCAGAAACAATGTTGGGAAAGGATTTAGATTTGCTTGCATGCCAGCGAATATGAAACATTAATTAAATCACCCTTATATTGAATATTCTTATTTTTAATGTTTCACATCATTATCTCCATTAATGAAAGGTAAAACAATCTAAACAAAATTGTTAATACATTATTAAAATCCTTAAAAGTTAAGAATATTTGAATTTTGATTCGATAGAACTAAATTCCAAAATTCCTATAATTTTTTTGACTTGATTAAACTCAATTTCTTAACTTTAATTCAATACTATTTGATCACCATAGTTGTAAATATTTGAAATATCCGTCCCTATATTTTAGAAAATAAAATTATAAGGATTAAAGTTATTTCTTAAAACTTAGTGACTAGTATTTTAAATCATAAAATACTCAAAACTATGTAAATTGAGTTATATCAAATTAAAGCTTGATGACTGAACTTCAATTGAATCACAATTATAAAATTTTTTTTGTATCAAGTGAAAATTAAAGGATTAAGTTATCAGATGACAAATGATTAATCTTTTCAAATAAATATTGTAAATACAAAATACTTTTCTGATATTATATATAAGACTTTTTTTATATTATATTAAGATAGGAGGAGCATATTATATTAGGGACGCATGAAACATGATGTGTGAGCCCATGGTTTGTTAGCTTGAGGTGGAAGGCGGTGCGTGCAAGCTCAAGATGGACCCAGCCAACCCCGAAAGGAAGAGAAAAAGCCTAAAAGGGGGCTTCACGTAAAAGCTGACGTCAAACTCAAGCATAGATACCAAAGAAGCACCCAATGGGAGTTGGGTTTTACTGTCACCAACTAAAATTTGAATTCTTATTAAAAAAAAAGGTTAAAGTGCATCCAGTACCTCCAAGTATTTTGTCAGGTGCACCCAGTAGCCTAAAGTAATTTATGGTGTAATTTTACCCTCAAAGTAATTAAAATGATGCACTGGTATCCCATGCTAACAGATATGTTACTTTGACCGTTAAATTGATGAGTCAGCATAAGTTTGACCAAAATAATCTGACGTGGCATGTCTAATAAGCAGGTGATGTGGAATTTTTTTCGGGGTTAAGGTACATCCAGCACCCCAAGTATTTTTTCAGGTACACCCAGTGGCCTAAAGTAATTTATGGTGCAATTTTGCCCTCAAAGTAATAAAAATGGTGCACCGGTATCCTATGCTAATAGATCTGTTACTTTGACTGTGAAATTGATGAGTCAGCACAAGTTTGACCAAAATAATCTGACCTGGCATGTCTAATAAGCAGGTGATGTGGAATTTTTTTTGTCTGCCACTGCTTTGTTTTCTCTGTTCAGTAAATGTTCCCTTCGGCTCTTGGAATTTTTTTCAGAGTAAGAAATTTTTTCAGAGATACTCCTCTGGTCCTATTTATAGGGTAGAGAGAGAAGATATTTTTTGGTCCTATTTATAAGGCACTGAGAGAAATTTTTTGTATGGATGTACAAATTTACCCCTCATTTATTATTGTATTGACTTTGTTTATATGATGTATAATGTATATTAAATAGGGATAAAGTTGAAAAGTTATTAAAATTTAAATGAGAGTTAATGAAATTTAAGGTTTTCCTTGGTCTGTGTGAAACATGCTGGAAGTGCCTTATAAATAGGATCAGAAGAGTAATATTCAGACAAAACAATGGAATTAACAAGAAAAGCCATGTCACCTGCTTATTAGACATGTCAGGTTAGATTATTTTGGTCAAACTTGTGCTGACTCATCAATTTCACAGTCAAAGTAACAAATATATTAGCATAGGATACCGGTGCACCATTTTAATTACTTTGAGGGCAAAATTGCACCATAAATTACTTTAGGCCACTGGGTGTACCTGGAAAAATACTTGGGGGTGCTGGATGCACCTTAACCCCGAAAAAATTCCACATCACCTGCTTATTAGACATGCCACGTCAGATTATTTTGGTCAAACTTGTGCTGAATTATCAATTTAACGGTCAAAGTAACATATCTATTAGCATGGAATACCGGTGCACCATTTTAATTACTTTGAGGGAAAAATTGCATCATAAATTACTTTAGGCCATTGGGTGCATCTGGGAAAATACTTGGGGGTGCTGGGTGCACCTTAACCCTTAAAAAAATACTTAGATTTAGTATCTGATAATTTTTTAAATAGGATTGTTTAAAAAAAAAAACTGAAAAAACGATTCCACAACTCAACTTAGCAACTCGGGTTAGATTTATTTAAAAAAGTTAGTTTTTTGTAAGTTGAATTAATATTTAGATTTTTATTAAGAGAAGTGTCTGTTTGGTAAAAAAATTCCACAACTCAATTTGGCATCTACTACCTCTCCAGCTCATAAATATGGTCCCACTGTCTTCTTTATTGAGTTCCGATTACCAACCGTGGGCTTGTTTAGATTAGCATCAGTGGAAGTGAATTTTATTTTAAGCGATTTATGTAATTAAAGTTGGGGCAAAAATAAGGATAATTTGATTAACGGTTGGATTTTTTTTTAAAAAAGTCAGTTGGGTCTTTTAAAGTAATTTTAATTTTATATTTTAGAGTGATTTCAGCTTTTGTAAAAATATATACATTTTAATTAATAATAAATTTAACTAATTTTTTTTAATCTGTATAAATTAATAGTCTAAGTCTAACTTCTATATTATTAAGAGAGTATTATTTTTGTTTTAGTAATATACTCTTTATTTTGACAATAAAAAATAACGTATAGTCAGTACATTGAAATTGCAAGCAATGTATGGAGAATATTTAATTTGCAGACTTGATTTTACGTCATACAGATTTTATAATCTGTATAATATATTATGGATATTAGTATATTGCAAAGTCAATATACACCGGTTTATTACTCAACTAAAATTTAAATCAATCTTGCTGCGCAATTTTCTGAACGGCGTGACAAGTCTAAAGCTGAAGCTCCTGAACCAGTTATAATAAGTGATTATTTGTTACGTATCAACCAGCCAAGCCCAAAAAAGATATGCATTACATTAACATTAACTTGTCGGTTCATACCAACGGGGTTGGGTCTAACGAAAGGGACTAGTCTTTTATAATGTGATGAATCAAGGTTCGAATCCCCACTGAGAGATGTACCTACATTTAGTACCCGACAGTACCTCGAATAGGATTGCCTCCAATAAAAAAATACGGAGACCTATGTTTTGGGGGGAAAAAAAACTTGTCGGTTCATTTAATTTTAAATTAATCAAATAAATAATGTAATCATTTATTTAATTCTTTTATAAAGCGCGTAAGCCCCACACTTTTCAATTAAAATATTTTTTTCATAAAGTGATGTCTAGCACCTTCGTATTATTTTCTAATTGTATCATGAATTTTAATTTTATTTATGATGCATTCATCTTTTAACACTTTAACCTTATTTATAATATATTTTAGGATGTTAAATTATAAATAATATTAAGGTGCTGGGTGTAATTAGGAAAAAAAAATCAGTAAGCGCTAATGTACTGAGAAAATAACACTAATGCATGTTGAATACTAATAAGAAATAAAATTAGGGTACTGAATATAATTTTATCTTTTTTTTTTCCCACTCAAGAAAGTAGCTCACAAACATAATGTTCATGGGGGGGGAAAGATGCTCTAACGCTTCTTTGCTTTTTCAAGCTTCACTATATATTTATTGAGTCATATTCTATAACATTCATAGAAATCCTTAATGTAGACGTAAGAGAAGAAAAAGAATCAATAATAATAATAATAATAATAATAATAATAATAATAATAATAATAATAATAACAAACCCACATATATTAAATTTCTGTTTAAGTCAAATTGTTCTGCTTCCCTCTCAAGCTACCAGTAATAATGTATTAAATTTCTTAATACCTAAGTCCAGGAGTAAAGCTGGAGTATATTTGGGAGCACATGGTATCTTTTGAGCTATGTAGAATATTTTAGTTGGGTATGTGTTGACATGGAGAATAAGAAAATTTAATAAATGCTTAAATAATTAACTTAAGTAATTATTTTAGTATTTATTGTCTTATCATGAAAAAAATGGAAAATGAAATAAATCTCTTTTTCGCTGCTAATATTGAATAATGGTAATATAATAATAAATTTCAAAGTGATAGTTTTTTTTTAAAAAAGTATTTCAAGGTGTTAGTTACCCACACGTATTGGAAGCCATTTATAAATTAACAAGTGATGAATAATATGTATACTATTCCTGTAAGCAAATGTGAGGGACAAAAAATGTAAAGGTATGTCTTCTTAGTGATTTAGCTCCAATGTTGTTAACCTAAGAAAAACATGATATTGAGATTTTAAATACTGATAAAACATTCTTAATTACTAATATATTCAGTTTAATTTTTGAAATAATAATTTTTAAAAAAATTATCATTTGAAACTAATGATTTCAGGGTTATTAAACCAAAGAGACATTTTTTTTAAAGTTAAAAGGCAAAACAAAAATTTTATATAAAATTAAAAGACTAAATATGCATTTTTGAGGAAAAAAATACCGAGAGAATAATTAAAAGTAATTTTTTCCGTCAAGAATAAAATAAAAATGTATTGAATTGAACACTGAATTTCCTTAGCCAACTAATATTGAATTTTTTTTGCCAGCAACTAATATTGAATAATGATAATAATATAATAATAGAAGAAGAAGAAGGGCACGTTATAAAATTGAGATTTAAGAGTGTGCCTAGAAGCTAAAACCAAACATTCAAAATTTCAAACCTTGACTGAGAAATTCAAGTTGTCAAACAACTTAATCCGAATTTCCCAACTATTATTATAATCATCACAGCTTCCTTTCGCTGATCGTTCGATGGTACTCTTGGCTGCTCAGAAATTTTCGAAGAAACTGGAGGATCACAACAATCACACTCATCATGATCATCACCATCATCATCAATCACACCACTTTTCATCTTCCCTTCAAGATTTTCGATCCATAGCTTCCAATTCCATTTCCCAATTACCTCAATCTGAAATCCTCTCCCTCTCATGGATCCACAAGTTCTTTGGCCTCTTACCCTCAATCAACAGGGCTTTCGCTAAGCTTCTGGTGGATATCGATTATCCCATGAGCTCATGGGATTCTGAATCGGTCCAATTGTTTCTCCGGTATAGCGTGAATTTGCTTGATCTTTTCAATTCGATTTCTTCTTGTCTTTCTCACCTCAGTCAGGCTCGGATGTCCCTGTCTCATGGATTGAGTCTCCTGGAGAATTCGCCCTCCTCGGCGATGAAACATCTGAAATCGATTCCGCCTGGTTGTTTCAACCTTAGTTTCGATGAAGATACGAAGGCGGAGGATCGCGAGGCCAAGGATTGCTCAGGTAAGCAAATGGTTGTTCATGAAGCTGTAAATGAATTGAAGAGGATTGTGTTCTGGGTATGTGGGATTTTCTTGTCTGGCTTATGCAGCGAATGGAAACCCTACTTGGAGATGAGAAAAATTACAGGTGGTTTTGATGATTCTTCAGTTTTCACGCTTGATTCCAGAATCAACGAACTGATGCTGTTAGAGAAAATGCCTGTGTTGAAAGAGATTGAAGAGATCAATGGTTCTGTGGCTAATCTTCTTGCTGCTTCAGATGCTGAGAAACTTGATGCATCCATGGGATTGCAGAAAGAACTTCATGTGTTGGAGAAACTCATGGACGATGTGAGCGAGGAGGTGGATGAATTGTTTGGCAGCGTTATGACTCAGAGAAATGAGTTAATCGATTGCTTTAGAATAACCACCACACAAACCCAGAAATCCACCGCTTGATCTGTATTTATGTTCTTGGTTTGTTTGACTCTCATATAAGCTCGTTGTAAATTCTGAATCTTATTGATTTGTTTGCACAGCAATGTCTAAGTATATAGAATAGTTTCAGATTCTATTTGGAATGATAGATTCAAATTTGCTGTAATAGCAGACAATATTTCAGCCACTAGTGTAAGTTCATTCCCCTGTTCTTTTTCTTCTCTTGGACTGTTTGTTTGGATGGAATCGAGAAGAACAGCAGAATTCGTGATCGTTTCTAGTGTACCTTACAAAGATGAATGATTAAACTTGCTATTTTATATTAGTCATGGATGTGGAGAATTGTAGTGGCTTGAATAATTTTTTGGCATCAAGTGTTTCAGATTTTAAGGCTTTTTTTTTCCTTGATATTATTTGATTTAAAGGTGTACAACACTTGGTTTGGCTAGTTGGGATTAACATAATACAACTTGTTGTAAATTAATACAAGGAAAAATTTCGAACCGCAGATAGGAATTAATGTCAAACAGCCCCCCGAAAAACCTAAAATTTCACTGCAGGATCAAATGACCAAACTGAAATTAATTTAAGAAAATAAAAGACATCCTTGTCCCTTAAACTGTGACTCTGAAGCTCTTCCTCCTCTCTCTTTTAAAACTGTCGATAACCCAACCTTTCCTTTCTTTCACTCTTTGGAAAATCTAGATCTTTCGCTGTCTTCATTGTTCCTGTAAGAAGAGCCTTCACCATCACTACTGTTCTAATTCTGAATCTAAAGTTTTGAACCTTATAATACTGAAAAATCCAGATCTTTCGCTGTCTCCACTGTTCTGGTTTGGGTTGTTCTGAAGTTCTGAACCTTATAATACTGCAAAATCCTTCTCTATTTCTTCTATTGTAGATTTTATGGGTTTGGTTTGGATTGTTCTGAAATTCTTAATCAATGAGAAATTTTTTTACTACTCAGATTTAATATAAAATTATATAAGGGGGTTGATTTTAGATTCACACCGTTGAAGATTGAGAGTACGTCTTCCATTTCCTATCATGCATGAATTGTATTATAAATTTGCAAATTCCACTTTTTCAGAACAAATGGTGATTGATGCTAAACTTGGATTTTTGTTGTGAATTCGCGAATTCCTATTGGAAATGTATACTGTATTTAATTATTGAAAATTGATTGAAACTAATACTTAAATGATGTGCAGAAGCGTATCATATATGACTAGCAATAGTGAAAAGCAATTATTTGGCATCTTTCATGCGGGAGGCGAATCAATGAAGACCTTAGAAAGCAAAATGATATATGAAGTACTACATTAAAATTGGCTGGCAACTATGTAAATGCAGAACAAATTAATCCACTTGCAAATAGATGTATTTATATTGTTAATGGGTGTATCTATATTGCAAATGTCCTAATTCTACTTGTGAACCTTCACTCTCAGACTTGTGAATTGTTCTATTCAATTTTATGAATGAAATAAATCCACTTGCAAATAGATGTATTTATATTGTTAATGGGCGTAATTGCATCCCAAGTTTTCTAATTCCACTTGTGAACTATCACTCAAATACTTGTGAATTGTTGTGTTTATAAATTAAATAAATTCACTTGCAAATAAACATATTTCTATTGTTAATGGGCGTATCCGTGTTGCAAATTGTTTAATTTCACTTGTAAATGATTCCTCTTAGGCTTGTGAATTATTTTCATCTTCTTCAATTCAACTAGTTTACTTGTAAATAGACGTGTTCTTATTATTAATATATGTATCTTTCTTGTAAATTTTATAATTTCAGTTGTCAATATGATAGCCACATTTCTAAAACATGAAGCTGTTAAGCAATGTATCCTTGCAGCAAATTCTCTAATTTCATTTGTCAGTAGTACATCATATACTTGTAAACTAGTGGGGATAAGCAGAAGATTAGAATTAATTGACATGAAATATACTTATGATATATATTCCCCGAACCTGAAATTGTACAAATTCTCTATACACAAATTTGAACATATTCTAATTTGAACACATTCTAAAGTAGTTTAAATTACATCTTAGATAGAAATATAACAATTGCTATGTCATCACTTTTTTGTTGTTGTGTCTTTATTGGTTGAAGCAGTTTCACAACAGCGTTGACTTCGTATTTTTTCTATAAGTAATGAGCTACCACAACAACTCAGACTTTAGTACAGTGTATTGCTCCTATAGCACAAAGATAAGAACCATTAATACATTCATACAGGTGCAACAATAAAAACTCAATAATTAATGAGCTAATAAATATTTAATTCCACTGCCGCTAGCCATATATGATACGTTGCTGCACATCATTCAAGTATTAGTTTCAATCAATTTTTAATAATTAAACACAGTATATATTTGCAACAGGAATTTGTGAATTTATTAACAAAAATACAAGTTTTCACAGCACCAAATCACTATTTTTTCTAGAGATGTGGAATTTGCAAGTTCATAATACAATTCATAATGGGAAATGGAAGACTTACTCTCAATCTTCAACAGTGTGAATCTAAAATCAACCCACTGTATAATTTTATCTTAAATCTGAGTAGTAAAAAAATTTCTCACTGATTTAGAATTTCAGAACAACGCAAACTAAACCCATAAAATCTACAATCAAAGAAATGGAGAAGGATTTTGCAGTATTATAAGGTTCAGAACTTCAGAACAACCCAAACCAGAACAGTGAAGACAATGAAAGATCTAGATTTTTCAGTATTATAAGGTTCAGAACTTCGGATTCAAAATTAGAATAGTAGTGACGGTGAAGGCTCTTCTTACCAAAACAATGAAGACAACGAAAGATCTGGATTTTTCATAGAGTGAGAGAGAGGAAAGGTTGGGTTATCGACAGTTTTAAGAGAGAGAGGACGAAGAGCTTCAGAGTTACAGTTTGAGGGGCAAGAATGTCTTTTCCTTTCTTAAATTAATTTCAGTTTGGTCCTTTGGTCTTGCAGTGAAATTTCAGATTTGTTTTAGGGGTTGTTTGATATTAATTTCCATCAGCGATCCTTAATCGAAAATTTCCCTTAATACAAAGGAAGTTTACTTGTTGAAACCCTCATAATTTGTGCATCCGTATCCACCATTTTGGCCTAATACATGGATGTCTATATGCTAACATTCATCATCATGTTGTGAGGGATTGATTCTTTTCATTAAACTCATATATAGATTTCTTTTTATTTTTCATACATGAATGTTAAAAAGCATGGATGCTTTTGACATTCATATGCTCTATAATGATCAAATATTTTGGAGTGTATAATTTCAGGATATGACAATGCAAATTGGATGTATTTCTTTTTACGTTAGGCAATTTGACATTTGAAAATATGCCAGACATGCCTTCTTTTTTGCCGTCTAAAATGTGAATGAAGGTGTGATGTGCATACTCACTAAATTGATGATTTTATCAAAGTAGTTGGTTGAGTCATGACATGACGTTGGTTTTATTAACCGTGTTTTGTGCATGTAATCACACGAAAGACATTTTTGAGTGATGACTATTGATAAGAGTTGTTAAATAAACATTAATAGATACAAAGATTCAATAGTAGAAGATTGGTCACTTCGTCAATTCATGACAAAATATTCATAGGCAAGCAATTCAATAACCATCACAGTCACCTAAAAACAGAGGAAGAAAGAAAATTAAAATGATGACAATAAAAAAAATCAGGGAAAATTTCACTGTAGGACCGCAGAAGACAATTAATATCAAAGAGCCTCCAAAACTTTCTGAAACCTCACTGCAGGACCAAGGGACCAATCTGATATTAATTTTTAAAGTGAGATTACAATAATATCCCTCCCTTTTTATTTTATTAAAAAATAAATATTTATCGGAGTTACTGTTCCGGCCACCGGCGCTCAGGTGGCCGCCGTTGGGGTCCGGTCACCGGTGGCCGAAACAGTAACTCCGGCGGGACCTCCGGTGGCCGGAGTTTTTTTGTTTAAAACAAAGTGGCCAATGGAGGGTTTGAACCCAGGACCCCTTGGCACACCAAAAGATTTGTAACCACCAAGCCAAGCAACCCATTCAATCATAATATGCAAATAAAACTATATATAACAAAATAAACGCAACAGTCCAAATGTATGTGAACAAGTGAAATTAGACGATTTACAAGTGGAATTCAGAAATTTGCAACAAAAATTAGGCAATTTACAAATAACATAATAGAAGTCATAACCCAAAATGCAAGTGCAAATGAGCAAGTAAAATTTGAAGATTTGCAATAAAAGTTTATGGATTTACAACCCAAATTTGGCAAACACAAGAAAATTTACAACCCAAAATGTAAGTGTTTGAGTGTAAGTGAACAAGTGAAATTAGACAATTTACAAGTGTAATTCAGCAATTTACAACAAAAATTAGACAATTTACAAATAACATAATAGAAGTCATAACCCCAAATGCAAGTGTTTAAGTGCAAATGAGCAAGTGAAATTTAAAGATTTACAATAAAATTTTATGGATTTACAACCCAAATTTGATAAACACAAGAGAATTCACAACCCAAAATGTAAGTGTTTGACTGTAAGTGAAAAAGTGAAATTAGACGATTTACAAGTGGAATTCAGCAATTTACAACAAAAATTAGGCAATTTACAAATAACATAATAGAAGTCATAACCCCAAATGCAAGTGTTTAAGTGCAAATGAGCAAGTGAAATTGTCGAATTTCACTTGCAAATCTATAAAATTTTGTTGTAAATATTCAAATTTCACTTGCTCATTTGCACTTAAACACTTGCATTTGGGGTTATGACTTCTATTATGTTATTTGTAAATTGTCTAATTTTTGTTGTAAATTGCTGAATTATACTTGTAAATCGTCTAATTTCACTTGTTCACTTACACTCAAACACTTACATTTTGGGTTGTAAATTCTCTTGTGTTTGCCAAATTTGGGTTGTAAATCCATAAACTTTTATTGCAAATCTTCAAATTTTACTTGCTCATTTGCACTTGCATTTTGGGTTATGACTTCTATTATGTTATTTGTAAATTGCCTAATTTTTGTTGCAAATTTCTGAATTCCACTTGTAAATCGTCTAATTTCACTTGTTCACATACATTTGGACTGTTGCGTTTATTTTGTTATATATAGTTTTATTTGCATATTATGATTGAATGGGTTGCTTGGCTTGGTGGTTACAAGTCTTTTGGTGTGCCAAGGGGTCCTGGGTTCAAACCCTCCCTTGGCCATTTTGTTTTAAACAAAAAAACTCCGGCCACCGGAGGTCCCGTCGGAGTTACTGTTCCGGCCACCGGTGACCGGACCCCGACGGCGGCCACCTGAGCGCCGGTGGTCGGACCTCCGACCTCCGGTGGCCGGAACAGTAACTCTGATAAATATTTATTTTTTAATAAAATAAAAAGGGAGGGGTATTATTGTAATCTCACTCTAAAAATTAATATCAGATTGGTCCCTTGGTCCTGCAGTGAGATTTCAGAAAGTTTTGGGGGCTCTTTGATATTAATTGTCTTCTGCGGTCCTACAGTGAAATTTTCCCAAAAAATTAACATAGCAGAATAAATTCTAAGGTTGGTAGTTATTATAGTTTAATAGGTGATCTTGGCATCCATATCATCAATTTTGGCCAAATATTTTAGGATGTAACGTTGTGAATTATATGAATGCATTTTTATGCTAGGAAATTTGACATTTGAAAATACGCACGGAAAAAAAAAAAAAAAAAAACTCTTCTCTCTTACCATCCAAAATTTGAACGAAGACGTGGTGGCGTAAGTGCTCACCAAGTTGATACTTTTATCCAGGTAGTTGGTTAAGTTGTGACATCAAATCTCGGCTTTATAAACAGTGTTCTGTCTATGTAATCACATGGAAGCCGTTGTGACTTGTGAGGAGAGTTTGCATATATACTACCTCTTTTTTTAGTATAAAATGTTGTTTTGTTTTTATTTTTATTCTAAATAAAAGACTCTAATTATTTAATCTTTTATATTTATATATATTTTAAAAATAATTATTCTAACAATGATAATTCTAACTAAGACATTTGATTAGTAAAGATATTTTAAGAAAGATAAAACTTATTTATGATAAATAACTAATTTAACTTTTTTTTAATCTACTCTAGTTAGCCAAATAACTCTTATATTTAAAGCCAAATATATATATATATATATATATATATATATATATATGTAACATTAGGTGGAAAGAGCTATTAAAGACATGTTAATACATGTATAGGGTTCACAATAGGAGGTTAGACATTTGGCCAATTCATGGCAGAATATTCACCATAGCCAAGTACCCTGATGACAATAATCACAAGTTACTTAGGGGTGTTTGGTAACCCTCAAAAATGTTTTTAAAAAATACTTTTCCCCAAAACAAGACAAACTCCTCTATATATTTACTTCGTAAACCGTAAGAATACTTTTGAAATAATCATTTGGTTTCCATTCAAAGACTTCTAAAAACAAAAGAAAGAAAGAAAATTAAAATGATGACAATAAAATAAATAATGAACGTATCAAATCAAATCAAAATAAATTCTAAAATTAGTAATAGCATAGTGTTATACCTTAAGATGTTAGCATGAAAAAGCTCGATCACCATGTATTTATTTCCCTTCCGTTTAACCTGATATAATTCAATTTTAGAATTCTAAAATTACTGGTTTTAATTGTTTATTCAACTACTTTGAGTCTCGTTTGTTGCACTTATTCTGACAAATGCAATTTGTTAGAGATTTTATACCATATATAAATATAAATTAGCAATAATAATTGCTTTTCACAAGATATTTAAAATTAATCTGATTAGATTGTATTCTAAACATTAATTTGTGTGAGTTGTAAGGAACCTCATATGATTACGAAAATAGTTATATATTTGCGAAAATGATTAAAAAAAGAATTGGAAATTGGGAAATGCCCAAAAAAAGGCTAATATTTCATAATGCCTATGATAGGTAAGGATCCCAAAATGAGATTTTCAAATTTAAGTTAAAAACGCAAAAACGCTTCTTATTTAGGGAAAAAAAATCTCTCAAACCCCTTGCTGCTGACTAGGGGTGCACATAGAGCTAGGCCCCTGCTCGATGCCCAACCCGAAGTAACAGCTGCCTGTAGAAGCCTTAATCATTTTGGGTTGGGCATGAGGGGGTTTCGTTGCCCAAAAAGTGATGCCTTGCCCATGTCATGGAAAAAAATTCCATCCATACCTAAAAATTACATTTTATAATTTTATATTTTAATACATTGAAATCATCCAAAAATAATCCAAAATAAGTCTTAACAATTATCGAATTAAATAAGATCAACAATCCATTTAAAGCAAGACAATCTCAATGTTATAATTGAAGCTTTGAAATTCAAACGGTTTGCATCAATTTCCACAAGTTCCAGAAAAAGATAGAATGCCTAAAAAAAAAGAAATAAAAATAACTATAAGTTTAACATATTAGAAAGTAAACTATAAAAAAAACAAATTTACTTCTAAATTTTAAATGATGCACCGATACACCTTACCAACATGGCTAGTCATACTTATAAATTGACCATTCAATCACCAAAAGCCATTAAATTCTCCTCTCTAGGTGTAGTAGCATCTAGGAAAAATAAATAAATAAAACAATTACATTACAAGTTATGAAGTAATATATATATATATATATATATATAGGTTTAGGGGGAAAAAAGATTACTAGCAAGTTGAAGGACATTTCTTGTCTCATCAAAATTATCAAACTCGCAAAACTTGTCAACAAATTCATACATTGATTGCCCAGATTGTAGCTAGTCTTGGCTATAAATTAGCGCTTCCGTCATTTTAGGAGATAAAGAGCTCCTATAATGATCAACCACACGTCCTCCATTGCTAAAGGTAAACTCAGAAGCCACTGTAGAAATTGGTATAGCCAATACACCTCGTGCCATGTGAGAGAGAATTTTATATTTTTCTAAATTAGCTTTCCACCATAACAATATGTCAAACTCAACTGCAGAAGGGATTTCATCTCTCGAGTCAGTTGCTATATATCTATCTAACTCAGTTTGAGGATCCATTGAGGTTCTTTGTTTCATAGATTCTAACTACTTATGACCTGGATCCTCTTCACCACCACCATCATCATCATCATCAAAAGAAGGCAATGAAGTTGCACCTGTTGTCCTTGTGGAGATAGTCTCTGATTCAATAGAAACCCTAGCATAGTATTCATTAAACAACCAATATAAACAATGTTTGACCCTCTCCTTCATAATTAAACATATTTCAGGATCAGCATAAAGAAGATCAAACATATGATTCACATATGCTAGTTCATATCAAGGGTCCAAAATGATAGCCACAAAAAGTAATGGATTCATATTGTCTACTTGATCCCAACACTTGTCATACGTCACCTGCATGCTAGTGCTCATTTCTCTCAAGAAGTTATTAGCATTATTCATGATATTCCTTTGCAGTATTTTCTGAATACAAGCAATCTGGTGCAAACATTCATTTGATGATACAGAAAAGGGAGCTTAAAAATTTTAATGTTATCTCATGTAAGACCTTTAAGAACTTGATGAAGATTCGAGCATTATTCTAATAATCAATAATATGACTAGAAAAGTTATCTTGGTTACGTCTAACGCCATCACGCTCAAGCCTAGCAGAACTAGAAGCATCACGCCTAGAGCTTGAAATGTTTAAGCTGAAGTATGAAATATAATCATCATCTTCATCACTCATTCACTCAAATACTTTTTGAAATTTCATTGCAGCTTCTAACATTAGGCATGTTGAATTGCACCGAGTGGTTACATCAAGACAAACAAGGCTTTTGGTGTCTATTTTTTTAACTTCAGCCCAAGTTTTAAATCTTAAAAAACATGAAGGAGAAGAATGAACATATTTAACAATACTTCGAATGGCTTCAAAGTTGTCTCTCATTTCTTTAATACCTTCATTAACCACCAAATTTAAGATGTGTGCACAACACCTTAACTGTAGATAATCACTATCACAAAGCAAGCCCTTCCAACTCGTCAAACGCCATTTAATATATCCCAAAGCTAAGTCATTAGTTGAGGCATTATCCACAGTTATCGTAAACACTTTCTTAATCTCTCAATCCAACAAGCATTGCTCAATGGTCCTATGGTATCACTTCTATGATTTTCAATCATAACAAAATATAGAATCCTTTTGTGAAGCTTCCATTTATTATCAATAAAATGTGTTGTCAACTATAGGTATTTAAAATTCTAATTTGATGTCCAACAATATGTGGTAAGACAGACATATTTAGCACTTTGCTTAAAAAATTTCTTCCATACTTTAACTTCTCCAAGATATAGTGCCCGTTTGGATGAGCGATTGGAAAAGCTGCTTATTGAAAAAGCAGCTTATGGATAAGTGAAGTGGGGTAAAAGCTAAATTGGATAAGTTGAATTGTGTTTGGATTGGAGTTCAGAAAAGCCCGTTTGCAAAAGTGAGATTGGTAAAAAGTTGTTTGGATTATGGTTGAGTAAAAGTAAGTTTGGTTGTAAAATGACCAAAATGGGTATGAGTTATAATAAATAATAAAAAATGGGAAAAAATAATTTCACATAACACAATGGAATTAAAATAATTTAATATGAATAAGTGAATTAAATTTTAAAAATTTAGAGAAATCAAAAAAATTATTTTAAATATAAAGTGAAAGAAGAAGAAACTTGAATTGAGATAATATAATGATGAAGTAAAATTTAATGAGTGAATTAGAATTAAGAACTGTAGAGAAATCATAAAAAATATTTGAGAAATGAAGTGCAACATGATGAAAAAAAATAAATTAACATAATACAATAAATTTAAATTAATTTAATACGAAGAAGTCAAATTGATTGAGTAAATTAAATTTGAAAGCCTCAGAGAAATGAAAAAAAAGATTGTTAATATAAAACTAAACATAATTTAAATGGATAACAAAGTTTTGAACTCCAATTGACAAAGTAAAACAAAATAATATTACATAATTAATTATCTAGACAATAATTAAATTCGCAAGAAAAAAGAGGGAAGAATTAATAATAACTAACCATTCATATAACAGCCACAGTGGATTAGAACAAAGTGCCATTCAAGAGATTTGTTTATTCTGGTTCTTCTTTCCCATTCCCAATAGTCCAAACCCAATTTAAATGAACACAAAGTCAAAAAAAATGTTGCGCCCATGACAAACATCACCAGAGCACGCAGATTTGATACATTTGGTCTTGAAAGTGTTCTCTATACGGATAAAAGCCAACTTGACAGGATCAGTTCATATTAAATCAAAAACTTCTCCATCTTGCAATTGCTGCAATATCCAGATCATTGAAGACGAATAAGTTTCAAGGATTAAAATTTATATTCCTCTCCCTCACAAGTCGCAAAGCCGTCGGCATTTTCATAGCTTTTTTGTGAATCCCCTCATCCAAATGTTATATCAGCTCACACAAAGATCAACACACACACACAACTCCACATGATTCGATCACTCGCCTATCACTGTCAAATTCACCGAAAAGCAACACAAAAATAGGAACCGGCCAACCTGTCTCAGATCGGACCAACCGATGCTTGCCAGAGGTAGATCGGACACTCTATTCCACTGGGAGGCTAAGAAGTCAAAGCATACCTCACATGCACCGTCAGACGGTGGCGACCTGGGTTGGAGACGCCGACAGCAGCTTGGAGAAGGACGAGACGCGATGAAGGACCAGCCTCTTGGTCACTCAAAGCCACACCGAAGACGATGACCCCACGGCAGAGACATGACGGAGCTGATGACGACCAGGTGTGGGTGGTTCTGATGAGGATGTGACGGCGGACGCTGGGTTGGAGCTTGCGGTCGCGCAGAGAGCGGTGTTGGAAGAAAAAAACCGAGTGAGAAAAATGAGGCCCCAGCGTGAAAATGATCCCCTATTCAACGGTCAAAAATAAGCTTCTACAGTAACGCAATAAGCCACAAATTTCAACTTATCTCAGACCGCACGTTTTGCAGCTTAAAGGATATAAGTTGCTTATTTTTTTAAGCCCAGCCAAACACAACCAGATCAGCCAATCGGGCTTATAAGTAAAAAAAAGCAGCTTTTAAGCCCAAATAAGCCTTGCCAAACGGACCCATAATTGCCACACATTCCTTCCAATTGTTGTTCTTGAAGGGATTGGAAAGCGAGGTTCAAACTCATTTAACAATTTCTTAAATACAAGCATAATTCTGAATGATTGCTCATCATAGATAATAAATTTAGTTAAAGCTCTTCTATATTGCTTCTCATCATATATATGTATAACTAAAGATCTTCCTTGCCCACTAGTCTTGCCTAATAAAAGAGTTAACATAGATTGTTTTTTTTATCTGTAGTAGCTTTATGTGGGTTCTTTGAACATTTTGGGATATGCCTTAACAAAGAATTTGTCCCATGGCGGCTTGAATCAGCTTTATAAGTAGTATGACAATACTTGCAAGCTGCTAAGTGAACTCCATTAGTTTCTTCTATTAACAATCTAATAAAGTATTCTCATACATCTGAGGTGTGCTTAGGTTCTCTTGCCTTTCTCTTTGTACCCCTTGTAACATCCCAAATTTATTTGGGTTTTACAGCTAGTTAGTTAAAAATACATATAATACATATATATGTATAATAATTAGAATGAATAGATTTTTTTTCTTTTACTATTTAAAATGTATCATAAAAGATTGAAAAATAAGAGTTTTTAGAAAAATTAATTGAATGAAGTACTCAAAGATAATTCTGTTATGTGTATCTATAGTAAAATATAAATAATTAAAAAAAGGGTAAAACGGTTTTACAATATATATATATAATCAAATGTCTTGATATCTTTGACATTAGTTTAAACAACAATTTAAATAGGAAGAATAAATAAATGATAGTAATAATAAATTAAAAGAAGTAGGTTAAATCTTTGAGATATGCCACATTAGCTTGAAGTTATTTTAAAATCTATTTTTAAAAAAAAATTTTAAGAGTGAGAGAAACGTTATTTTTCCTTTTAAATATCATCTTCTTCTCCCTATCTCAATTACTCCTGCCGTCAATAAAATCGCACACCCTATAGATACTCCTTTTTCTTTCTTCTTCTTGAATTTTCCTTTTCTATTCCCTCTCCTCCTTATTTTTGTGTTTCACACATCAATGGTCTTGTCTTTTCTCTTCCACAGCAATATTTATTTTGGACTATTTACTTTTCTACGTTGCATACTA